TTTGTTTATTAAGATTGCTTAATTTATGCACGACAGACCTTGGATTTATACTTCCGAATACGTTAATAACGTCGTGATCCTTTTTTACAATTAGGAAGTAATTCCTGGAATTTCCTCAAAACGTTTTTTTTTTTTCTATATTAACGAAGTATAAATGAATTTACTTATTTTGTTTTTAGAAAACGTATTCTTTAATTGTTGCGTGTTTAATCAATTCCGTTACGGTCTAATTAAGAAACGAAACGTATTACGATTTACACGAGTAATCTTACAAATCCGCAGATTAATCAATTATCAAGAAAGTGCATTTGCTTTATAAATATTATATGATCTCGTGTCAATCATTGATAACGAAAAAAATACCCTAAAATACATGACCAATTATTTCATAGATATAATAAAATACATGGAACAAGTTGCGTGCATTAAAATTAACGATAAAATCTGCGTAAAGTCGACGATACAAACAATTCCTAGAGGAAAAAAATACTAAAGCTACCAATAAATAATTAACAAAAATGCATTAGTTATTTCACTTTTTATTAAAAATTATTCGTTTAGTTTCGCATGCGATTTGCAATTACTTTATGGGTAACAATACATTTCAGTTACGGTTTTGCTAAGCGCGATGTTATGCATATTGCTCAACGAATGTCACAACCGTAACAGCCCCTAGTCTGTTTATAGTTGATATATACATATATACTAGAACCTTAGATTTTGTTGTTTGTTTTGGGGGAGACGGGGGTTGGAGAATGCAGTTGCCATAATATAGCTGAAACACGCAAAGACAGTATACATTTTTCGATTACAGCCACTGGAATCGAACGACAATTTTCCACCGCGATAAAGAATTATGTTGTGTAAACAAATGCGTCTAGAAACGGAAAGCTACTACATTATGAAGCAAGCGTTCCTAATTTAACATCTGTTCCGTCTGCAACACGAAATCAGATCTAAGAAAATTTGAATTTTCAACAGTATACATTAAAAATTAACCATTAATTTAGAAATCGACCTTTGCATATAATTAAATTAAAACTATTAACAAATTAAACAGATGAAACGTTTCCATACAATAGATTTCATTAGTAAATATTGACACGTAATTATTATCGGAGAAAATTAGAAAATGCGCAATTTCTATATTTTCTCGTTTTGAAGAATATCTGGTTCGATGCTCATTCAATAAGCAATATCGAAATTAGTTTCTTATTAATTGCATTTTTTATTCGTTAATTAAAAATAAATAAAATAAAGGAATACAACGCTCGTTGCCAATTAATCCGACGTAATTAAGTTGGAATCATCTCAAGATTTGTTTCGTTAATTAGTTTATTTAGATGTTCGTTTTTCTGCACGAACTCGAAATATGCAAATCACTTTTGATTGTTAACCTATTTAATTCTCTGATTTCTCTCTTGCTTACTATCATTACGGTTTTGCTTTCTTATCTACTGCTTCCAAATGCTATTTCCCCTTTCACTTTTTTTTTTCGAAAACACTCCCTAAAATTAAACCGATCCACAAAAATTGCATGTTCCAATTTCTTTTTCGAAAACAAATTAATCATTGCAATGCGTTGTTTGGACGATAAATAATCATTCTATATATATTTTTTTTAGCAAATGAGAACAATCCTCGATGAGTTTAAAATCAATCTGCATTTAGTTAACCCACTTTTGAATGAATGGGAACGAAAAATGATTCTAAATTTATTACCCCACTTCGATTTGTTATGAGAATACGTCAATGCGTATGCAACTGCTATAAATCATACTGCACAAACCAAAAATATTGAGTATTCATTGATTTCCATCCATTTTATTTGCACATTTTTTAAATTAATAACGGAAATTACATAACATAAACATCAATGAGATGTTCAGAATTCATTGACATTTTGTAAAAGTAGAATCTTAGTTGTTTTATTATCCTAATTCTAATAGAAACATAAATATTCTGTTGACCTTTCAAAGATTGGCTCTTTCCTAATGTTGCTAGAAAATATTTGTCAATAAAATATTTAAGTATAAGCAATATATGAATCTAGTTTAAATAAGAAACGAAATGCTTAAAAGTTAATCTTAGTTAAACTCATGATAATAAACTATAAAGATAACATTAAGTTAAAATTAAATCTTGAAAAAATTGGGACAAAATTCAGAAAACTTTTAGTTGCTATGAAGTCAGGGTTTTAGTTAAGTAATTCTAAATAAATTTACTTAAGTGTAGGTTGATAAAAGTCATCCTCGATTCACTTATCTTAAATTTGTATTAATAAATTATACTAAATGACTTGTGGTATCAAGAAACAACACATCAATTGATGCCTACACGATCTTATTGACATAATTTATTTTCTTACAATAGATGTAATAGTTTAATTATTATAAATGGCCTGTGAAATGAAAGTACAAGTATAAACAATACACGTTCGATTAAAAAAAATAAATTTGCAAGCAGATATAATCAGAATTATGTAAGTTCAATATTCTTTAAAGGCTGTTTGTATATAATTATCTTACATTAGTATTGTTTTCCCACGTTGTAGTATGTACATTTTTTTCCTTTTCAATATCTATAATGAATATTAAAACACGTTTAACATTAGTAACACTTTCATGCTTCACTATTCGAGCGGATGTGAAATATAATTAACATGATTAATAGAAATAATGTTTTCGCAACGAGTGTCATTTTCGAAGAGCAAAAGCGAAGAAATTTTTCTTTCTCTCGCACAGAATTTCCCATTTACCGTTACAATTTTTCTCTCTTTTTATTTCGGCGTAGGTCGAAGAAAAAAAGTAATGGATAATTCCAGCCATTCATCATTTCCTTTAAAGCGATTTATCAAATTGCAAATGAATAATTCATTGAAAACTTATAATTGCAATAATTAATACAGCGTATTGCTATAATTATTTGATGCAATTTCATTGCATCCAAGAAAATAGGGATTCCGTTAGGTGAAACAAATCGCTTTTATACTTTCTATTTCAATATCTTCAGCTGCAAATTGATTTGAATTATATATGAGATGGAGTTCGTGGCCCAATGACCACAAACAAAAAAAACGTTACCCGAAGCAGCTGTTCGGTATAAATATATTGAAATGGACGCAAAATTTATTACCCCAAAATGGTCGAATGCATTATAAATAAGGCTCTACGTGTAGGAGGGAATACCATAAAGGCAAGTTCGTGTAGCCTTTAAGAGCGTTCTTGAACTTGCGCTTGAGACTGCGTCGATAAAGGAACGAAGAACAAACAGAAAAAAAAATATAAGCGAAGAGTTGATGCCTAGTAGGCATGAAATTTTTGCTGATATTTCTTGCCTCCATTAAAAATAAAAAAGGATGGAAACGAAACAAGAAATTCTGATGAGGCGATCCTCGCATTTCACCGGAACAGATTGCAATTAAACTTGCCCCCAAGGAGTATCATTTTTTTTTGGATGAAATCGTTCCTTTTTTTTTCGGTACCACGAAGAGTTTAATTAAATTTTAATAAGTTTTCTACAATTTCCGCTTCAAGTCTGGGTATCGCAGAAAATGAAAGTCGTAAATCTTATTGCCATTTACTTCAATTGGTAATACCAACATTGTAATGCAAATCAAATGGTTCATTCATACATCTTATCACAAATTATGCGATTTTTTGTTTCAATAATAAAATTAATCCGAAGTACGTTAACAGCAATAACAACAGTAATTTGATATTAGTTTACAAGTATCATTAATAAAACAGTAAAATGGTAACTTCGGTTTGTTTCCAAACTTAGGGCCTATATTTACGTACTTATCCAAGGTAATTACTCTACATTATTTAGTATATTAAAGGACAAATAACAACATTGTCATTTTTTATTATTTCAATTTGTTAATTATTATATTATTTACATGATTTATATTCTTTATTATAAGAAAACAACAAATCATATTTTCAAAAACTTCAGTGAATATCTCTATGGTTGACATGTAAAAAAATATTATTTATTCTGTAATCAGTCGTTAACTTCCCCGCATCCAGAAACAACTGCCTTTGTATAACGATTATTATTTTTGAATTATCATGTTTTGGTTTGTAAATAATAAACATATGCGTTGCAATAATTATACCATTTCAAATAAAATTGTCATTTTCTTTATAATTTTTATATAATTGTACATGATTTAAGTCTTATTTAATAGAAGTAAATCAAATATATTTTTTTATATTTCAAGCATAAATATCAATAAATCTCATTTTTCCTGATATTTTATTGGTTATTATTTAATAATTGATTGAGGTTAATAGTATTTTTTTGAATTTGTTAATAAATCAATATTATTTAAAATGTTAAATGATATTATTTTCATTAAATGCAGTCTGAGTGGGCGGATAATGGTATATTTCATACGTGCAGTTTGTTATGAAAGTTTTTTTTCTACGAATACTCTTTTGTTTATAAATTTTCCCAAACGGAAACGGTTTCCCCATTTATTTTTTGGTTTTACTATATAAAACAATTTAAAAATTTACAAATCAAGTTCTACTCTGTAAATATTATAACAGATTTTAACATTTGTATGTTAATGTTTACTGTAAGAAAATATAATTAATTATAAGATTGGTATATCAAGTTTTAAAACAGAAATATTACAATATACATTGAAATGTATAAATCAAGTTTTATTTAATAAATTTTAAAATTTGTGTAATAAATTTTACTTTTGAATTATCAAAACATTTTTTTAACGTTTATACATCAAGTTCAATGTGAAACGGAAGTGAGCTTAACATTCGTTGCGGTTAATTGAATTGATGATTTATAATGGAGGGATGCGGATTTGACGCGATCATGAAATTGTAATGATCCTTTTTCTATCTATCTATCTTTCTCTTTTTAATGTATAAATGTATGTGTGTATGTGGATTCTGGTGCTGAGGGGCGGCATGCGCGCCGCTCCACAGGTATTGATCTGCGGGGACGTCAGGTCCTCGGGTCCGTGGATCCGGAGGCGGGTGCTTCAGTTCGCGACATCATCTCCGTGCGGGTGGAGGGGCTTGCACGAGCTCGAACATCTCTTCGCATACGGACGAACTCTTTGGGGAGATCGTGCACGATGGGCCCGGGCCCCAGTGTGGCCCATTGGGCCTAAATGAGCACTTACCACACGTACCCGAGTCGCGGATCGCGGACCATGGGCTGGACCCGCGCCAACGATCCGGTATTCTCAACAATTGTTAGCACCTAGATAACTATAGACGTTGTAGAAATGCAATCATACTTTTATTTTATTTTAATTTCTCATCACATATTTTAATTAAAAGCTTTCATAACGTATACCTATCCCAGAATTTCGCTCTTCCAGATCTCCTTCGCAAATATATATATATACATGCTTCGCACGGTGATTCTGCGCGATGCGTGATCCTCACGGATGCTGTGTCATATCTCATTTCCAATTTATTTCGTCTGCACGTTTACGAGCCCAAATATTAGCTTTCCCGGCACCAACAATTGGGTCATCCAATTTCACCATATTATCTTCCAGCTTTTGAATTCATCGGCTAACCGACGTCAATTACCATGTGGAGGATGGAAGATCCACCTTCTCCCATATAGCAAACAGACAAAAAAAAAACTCCACACTTTCTATTAATCGAGTTTTGTTGCCTCGAGACATCAAAAATGATAATTTCTAAATTCTACTTTTTTTACACCTTACAAATATATAATACGAAAATTAATTACAATTTGGAATCTTGCATTTGTATTTCTGAAGTTACACTCACAGTTTATATTTAAGCTCAACATCGGCGTATCTTCCGACTTACTTTATAAATAACAGTGCTGAATTTAATACAAGCAACTGGCACTAATCCTCATCTGCAAACTTAAATATTGATCGAAATGTCACAATGAAAATTAACAAGTGCGATATAACACACTTTTATTTTACACAATTATTTATTCTAATTTGCGACCGATTATTTACAATCCTTACATCGTTAGTTCAACAATAACATACACTAAAAAATACAATATATTCGATGGAAGCAACTGCTTGATGCTTAACTTCGCTCCCATTGGTGAGCTGTGAACATATCGATTGGATTCACACAAACTTCATCTTTAAACTTATAAATTTTAGCTTAACATTTGATGCTTTAATCAATTATTACATTGAATATTTCACTTTAATTTATTAAATTTACTAAATTAATAAGTAATTTGTCTCCTAAATACAAATTAATAAGTTTTACTATATAGATATTCCTTGAACCAACAAGAAATTGTTTTATTGAAAAATGTAAAATTCAGCTATTAGTCTCGTTTACTTTATATATATTTTTTTAAATTTCACTTCAATTATTTACATTTATCCAAGTGCACAAATTTATAGAAATAAATAAAACTCATGAGAACCGCAGGAATTGATGAAAACTACAAATTAGTCATGCAATAAATTTTATGAAAAGTTTAAAATTCATCGAACTAAACTAATCTTTATCTCACATCTCAGACGATATACTTGACTAACTAATTTAAATTGCATAAAAAAATAATGTTTTTTAACTGTCGACACTCATTTCCGTCTGATTCTGATTTATATTCACACTTAAGATGTTATTAAACTCGAATGAAAACCTTAATTGTTTTCATAATAGTTGCAATCATAAGATTTATTTGTTCGATTCGATCCCCATTACTAAATGCATACTTTATTTGCATTCATTTGTATCTTCAATTAAGAACATTTCAATATATTTTGCTTATTTCGCTAAACTAAGCATTTTATTTTTGTATGTTATAATTGTTAATGAGTTTTAATAATGTTGTATTAATATACGTATTCATATATTTTTGTTACATGCCTCCTGCAGTCCCCTTGGAACTTATGTTGCATCCAGAAAGTAGGTTTTGGTGTAATTTAATTAATAATACGTTTGTATAAAGTTTCGTCGAAAATACATGTGTAAAGAATCACGTATATGCACGTAGTTTGTGATGTGATGAGACGTCGACGACGGCTTCGTTACTTAATCCTTTTGGTGAAGGTTTCCATAGTCTTGTTCTGATTCGTGTCGGAGATCATAGGAACAAGACGCGCGATATCATTCTCTTTTGTTGTTCCATCGCGCTTAGCTCATTCTCCTCATCCGTTATCCAATTAACATGTGTCACATTTAACGCCTTTCGTCGAATTAACGTGCTATTCCATCGTCTTCAACCGTTTTCCGTGAGAGTAAAAAGCCTTCACTATTTAGGTTATAAAACAGATTCTAGATTCTTTTTTTTAACCTACACAAAAAAATAAATGTTACCAACAAGTATATATTAATGGATTTGTTATTTTCAAACTGCATTGTGCAATCACAATGGATAGACGCACAATCAATCTCTTCGTTATTTCGGGATATTGAAACGTTTTAAAACTTTCCAGTCTATCCATCAATAAACGTATCTTGTATACTTCATCATAGATATATTTTCTACTTTCAATTCCTCGAACCAAATCAATGATATTTCAATTAACTTTTAAACACTTTAAATAATGAAAAATTCTAAATTAATAATACTTTTGGTTTTAATTACATCACACCTTTATATTATATTGAAATCACTTTTAACTGTCATAAACATAAAATTGTGTATGTATGGAAATTAATTATTAACGAAGTATTCACAGTATATTGTACTTTATATGCAAAACTAATTAATTTTTAGTTTGATGATAAAACTTGTATACAAAACGTAAAATGCTATCAAGGTTAATGCACTGCAGTGCACTTGCAATTTATATGTAACAGAACATTAAGTTCATTGATTTAATGAAATACTAATACTGCACTAATCACTAATAAATAAACCGTAGGGGAGCAAAAAAATGAATCAATGATCTTGGAATAATGAAAGACCACGAAACGCACCGCAAACTTATTAAATACATTAGCATTTTACTGTTCGTACCGTTATAATATTATATATTTTAACTTCCCATTGACATGATACAATCGTATTTCATGCAGCTTATACACACCAATATCAGATTACCTCGGATTGCATGTTTCATACTATATATATATAGTATAAAATGTGGGTTTCTGTGCGGGCATGGAAAATATTGCTGCGGAAAACGTTTTAAATGCACATGCAATTGCGATGGACTCGGTATATTGAATATAAAAAAAAACAACAACATTTAAACTAATCACTTCATGCGTACGATTTATCTGTGTAGAATTTCATAAATATATGGAAAATCGTTCGGAACATAGCGTATGATATTCCATACCAGTCAGTTTAATATTTAAATTGAATACTAAATGCTTTTTACATGGCAAAACAACGTTTGAGGTTGTAACGTTATATATCTATGAATCATATCTGACGATGCGGAAATGTATTTTTTTGTTATTTCTATTAACTACTACTATAAATGCGTTAGCTTCTTTCATTGAAAAAAATTAACACAAATTTTCTTAATTAACCTAATTATATAGATTAAACGAGATGATAAGTAAAATTGTTGTTTAGAAAGAAATAATTGCAAAGTCGCAATCCAAAAACTTATGCAATTAACATTATGTGTAGATAGAGATATCAGAATACCGAGGATAAATGCGAGACGTGCATGACATAATAATAAAACTATCATGATGTTATGTGCGAGTGAATGTACTTTTTAGATGACGCAGATGAAGACAATGACGATAATGCACATGAATTTCTAAGCGCGACCGACGTATTAAAACAGCATCATTATTTTGAAAGAAATCATTCGTACACGTTCTTCGAATTGATTAAATTAATTGAATATATAACTGTTTCTGAATTGCAATTTAATGATGTAAAAACACGAATTTAAATTTAATGATGAAATTAAAAAAAAAAAGAACAACATTTAATTAATATAATACAGTGGAACCTCGTGACGATGAGAAGAAAAGTCTCAGATTGCGCGCCTAATACATCATTTTTAATATTATGTGTATTCTTGAATATGTTTCACTATACGAGTACAAATTTTGGAACGGATTAAATTCGTTAAGCGAGGTTCCACTGTATATTATATTTAATTTATTTCATTAATTAATAATTAGTATTACATAAAAAAATAATACTAAATAATCACCATACTAAAAACTCAACAAAATAACATAATAAGATTTTTTTTTTGATTAATTTTTTTATAATTTATTTGAAGTAATGATTCTAAAAATATTATCTTCTAACGCAAGTATATGTAAGTATAAAAATTATGGAAAGTTTGCGAGAACTTTTGACAAAGTTGAAAAAGTCAAGGTCACGAAATTGCAGTTTTAAATAAGTTTGGCATCTTGTAAAAGAAAACTTTTGTAAAGCAATGATGACCTCCATGTCATTTCCTTGTAATGTTCGGCATAGAAAATTATTGTTAATAACGCTTTGTTAAGTTCACTTCACTTAATACTAAACGATATATGAATGCTTGAAACAATTTAGTTTAATTGTTGGTTTCCATTTACTAAGCTTGATATCATTCTCGCTCGGACTCGGGGTTTTCAGTGTGAAATAGAAGATAATAAATGAAACGTTGCAAATGCAATACAAATATTTCCGGTTGGCTTTGCAATGCAGACTAACAAATTTCTGCGCCGCTTATCAGATGGCGTATGGCAGAGAGACATGGAGGTCGATTATCCACTTGAAGAGAAAATTGTGGGCATTAGTTACTACATCTGATGTATATAATTATTTGCGTTACGGAGAAGGATCGAGAAAGAGAGAGAAAAAAATGAACAAGAAAACGTTCGTTTCATTTTATTGTGTTTCCTTTCTTTGTGTCCCGGCTCTGTCCTCATCCCACTTGCGGTCTTCCTCCAAACACCAGACAATGCAATTAATCATTGGAAATGCCACCAGTACCACGAAATATACGAAATCGAGCCACCATTGTTCTATTGGAAAAATAATTGCAACTGCTTTTATTATTTTTCGACCCAAAAACTGAAAATAATTTTAATTACAGGTTCGCAAATTCAGCAAGAATTTCATTAAGTATTTTATAATTGTTCAGATTAATTAAATTTTTACATGTAAAGTTATTATTATTTTTAATTTGTATCTTTTTTTTCAAAATTGTTGTAAGCAAAAATTGATCAAAAAGGGCAGCATATGCGACTGCATAATGTATGGACTATAAAGGATGGTGTAAAAATCCATTTGAGCGGAAATATAGAACAACTTGAGTGTGAAATTTATATTCGCAGTTGCAAAGGGGATGCAAATTCATATAATATTTTTGGATTTATCGATCGGTTCGAATATAAAACAAAAATGACACAGAACTGCATTGAACCAAAATAAATGTGTACAGTGATTTACTGTACATCTAATGTGATAATAATTTCGAAATTCGAAACAGCAATTTGCAAAGTTACAGTTAACAGATTGATCTTCATGAAGTGCACGCTTCTGGGGATTCGGATTACGTTTTCTAATTAATAACTGTACCGTTCGTAATGAAACTGCATCCATATTCGAAACGTGATGGATTTCATAGCCTTTTGTTACAATTCATTATAGAGTAATGAAACTACCAATTACTAATCTAGATAGCATTGCCCTCCTTCCGTTGTTATTACAGCGCATAATGCAATTTGCATTTATTATTTAAACTACTTTCTATTGTTGTTCTCTGAAAATTAATGGGCTCCAATAAACTACAAACGCTCGACCTGATCCAACGCCTAGAAACAGGTGCAGCGTACCACAGTTTCACAAAAAAATAATAGATTATAAGAATTTACACTCATCAAATAAATGTAAATACCATAATACACATATTATTATCGCACTTTCTTATCTACTCTTCCTGTTGTATGCGGGATTTACAACCACAATTCAGGAATCTGTCTGTTAGCAACTGATTCATTCAACTTGGTTTTTCTACAGATTATATAAAAGTACGAATTACGCGCAGACCGCATCCTACTATTTATTTTATGATGATGTAATGCTATTATATTTTGACTTTCGGAAAATAAACTACATTTTTGATAAAATATTTACAAGGCACACGCGCCTTCCGATTCCGGCTAAATATTATTTAAAAAAATATTCCTGTAATTTACAGATTTACCGAATCCGCAATTAAAGGAAGCTAAACTAAAGAAACTGTGAATTTATGGCCGTCAATGAACGAGTTGTTGATACAGCGGGGTTGATTTTAATTACGACTTTATATAAACGATTTCAATGGAATTAGCGAAGTTGAATGTATTCTTAATTATTTTTAATTAGTCCTAATTAAAATTGGCTGTTTACGCAATCGCATTTATTCTGGCAAGGATCGTCGTACTATATCGTAAGTGCGTTTAATTGAGATTGAAAAAGGGAAAAAAATAACTTAGTGAGTGCGTGCAAAGTAATTTCCACCCCTTGTAAATGTGGTGAAAGCTTGTATCTACAGAAATGCGGACAACTCAGAAAAGTGGCTACATGTGTGTGACCTATATTCCGGTTATTGGTTGAAAAGATACGCTGTCGCTCTACATGAGGGACTACCGGAAACCTAATGCAATAATTCTCTCTCTTTTCCTCTTTCCCGCAAAATAAAAATAAATAAATAAATCGAATAGTAAACGCGCTTGAACGATTCCTACGCATTACCACCATGAATAATTAATTGAGCCACGTATTTTTTTTTGTGTTTCCAGAGTCCAGCCTCACATCACCACAAAGATGTGCTTACGAAATATGGTACAAAGCCATCAACGGCCTCGTCTGGGAAGCACCACCACCTGAAGGTATCCTCGAGGAATGGACTGTCCTCCTCCAAGACGTCCCTTATTAACACGGAAGTAAGTACTAATTCAATTCAGGCCAACAATTGAATCGAGGCTGCTGCCCAGTCAGATGAATTGATTTATTAGCAATATGGATCTATTTATATTTCCGTGATTTATTTATAAACAAGCACTCGTTCATTGAAATACGGGCTCAGGAAGCCTCGCTCACTCTTTAATTACAAATAGATGAGTTCATACAATTAACTATTCGTTATTCTGAAGCCGGATCAAAGAATTCCCAGAAGGTTATTACACATACTAATGATACATTAATTATTTCAGTTATTGGAATTAATATGACTACAATCCTTACCATCATTGAAAAAACATTTGTTTATTAGTTTTTACTATAAAGTAAAGCTTTCATTAAATCCACATAACATTATGAATAACAAGAAATAATTCCTACAATAAATAACCAAAATGTAAACTCAGTACAGTAATATAATAAGAAAAAATAAATTAAACTGCTGCAAACGACTATTGACCATAGGCAATATTATTATTTTTATAAATTAAAATAGTTAAAACAAAAACTAAATTGATTATGTTAAATAAAAATAATAAATATTTGAATCAAAATAAAACATATTCATAAAATAAACTTAAAATTCCTTGAATACCAAAGTTCTTTGTAATTCCCAGACGTAAATAATTTATACCTGGACCTCGTTATATTCCAGCAAACATTATTATTGTCTTAAAACTAAAATATATATCCACAAGGGTTTCTGCATATTTTTCTTAACTTGATTCATTTTTTAAATACATATCTTTTAAGTTTATAACGCTACAATTCGTATGCTTAGTAATGATTAAATCGATATTAAAGCGTTCCAAAAATAAATCGTGCCATTAAAAATATATTAATACTGTTTGATATCAAATACGCTATATCCTTTATTCAACAAAAAAAAGTAGTATGAAGTGATATTTTTGAACGGAATTACTACAAAAAGTAATCAATTATTTGTGAAATTAGATAAAAATACTAAAATTATTATGGTAAATTATTTAAAAAAATTTGAAACTTCAAATGAAATAAATTGAATAGATTTTTTTTTTCAAAATTAATAATTTGTGAACGAAATTAGTACTAAAAGTCTAATTTCGGTTCCATAAAAAAAAACAGAACAGGACAATACAGAAAGGTGACAAGACAGAACAATGGAAACGAAATGATTTTTACTAGATTTTGGACCTGAATAATATGAATAATTTTCCTGTGGAAATTTTCTTAAAAACAAAAGCCTAAATATAATAATACAGATATCCGCCAACTTGCGAACTAGTTCCGTTCCAAAGGGTTGTTTGTAAGTCGAATTTGTTCGTAAGTCGGGGGAATTTAAAATTACAAAGTATACTTATCTTACAACACTTTATCATGGTTTTTACTTTTTATATATCTTAAATTCCGTATTACTGACTGCAAAAATTTGAAATAATAGATTTAAATAAGCAAAATACTTAGTTACAAATACTTTTCAATGTAGACATCACAATTATTTAATAAAAAAAAATTGTGACAAGTTAGAGCTTTTAGAATTTTGTTCGTAAGTCCGGGAATTCGTAAGTCGGAGGATACCTGTATTAGGTTTTTGTTTTTAAATATAATCACAGAGGAACCTCGCTTAAAGTGGAGCGGATTAAGCTCCAAAATTTCCGGATTTTTACTCGTATAGTGAAACATATTCAAAAATACACATAATGTGTGTACACAAGTTTCAAATTATGTAGCATGCCCGCAATCCGGGACTTCTCTTCTCAACGTCACTCGTTATGCGAAACGTCGCTCGTTAAGCGAGTCATTTTCCTTACAGCGAAATGCTCGTTATGCGAAGTGTTCGTTAACCAAGGTTTCACTGTATATTAGTTTATCAGGAAAGTTCAGCATGTCTATTGTAAATATTACCTGAGTGTAGAATAAAACTACAGTAAAAAGCAGATGATTTATTACACTTATATAGATATAATACTAATTCAACGAATTTAAAGACAATTACTATTTTAAACTATTACTATATTTGTAGTAGATTCGTTATATTTGAAGCGTTAAAAACTGTATTGGTGCGAAATAATGGGTCCAGTTTTAGCTGAACACCGACGAGGGGAGTCTGACCTTTTCGTTCAAATCATGTTCGATCGTTGGAACATTGCAGTCCTGCAGCGTTCTCCCCCCAATTTCAACCACTGACAGTATGCAAATTGAATTGACAGACATACATGCCACAAACAGTTTAATATTTTGGCGCGGCGTCTAGCCGGACAATAATTCAATCAAAATATGTAAGTCAATTGCGATGCTGGAGATTTTGTACTAACAAACAATTAAATAAAGATGAAAATATTCTATCTGTATCTGGAATTGATTTGCAAACACCTGAGACGATGTATGCTAATACGAAAAGGAATAATGGCATAAAGATTGTGTAAGCATTAATAGTGTGGATTAGTTATGAGTAATTAATGGAAGCATCTGTTCGATGTTTATTAGTTGGCGATTTACTGCGAATGCGTTTGGCAATTGCAGCTGAAGTTAATGACTTATTTTGCATAGGTAGGTTGGATTCGGTTGTCGAGTGTTCGATACTCGGACGATTTTTATCGTACACTCACGTGTGTTCGTTCCACTTTCGTTTCGTTTAAGAGACATTAAAATTACAAGAGATTTACGACGTGGGGGTAGCGGGGATTGCGTTTGGGAACATTAGTCAGAGAAAATGCAGTAGCCGAGCATTTTGCATATATCGATACATAAATTAATGTCCCAACAACAGCAAGGCCGATTGGCACAATCCGGGGGCAAGAAATTATTTAACTTTGTCCGTTCTCCCACGGACTTTTCTATACAATTTGCAATTCAGCTCAGCCACAATTTAATCACCTTTATTAAACGAAACGACAAGCATCCTGCGATTTTTTTTTCCGCGCAGAGATCGGCCAATCGAAGGACGTTTTTCGTCCCGCTTCTCTTCATCCTTGTCCAAATCGATAATGGTGCATTGAATGCTTTGAGTCGGTCGGTAATTCAATTGAAATGCATTCAGAGAAAATTGCATCTCGTTATTATGAAAATACTACCGCTTCATGCGACGCGATCGTTTTTCTTCTACTTTTGCTTTGCGTATAAAATTTTCCGCCGTGATTCGAACGACCTTATTATATTCAAATCGGCCTTTCTTTTCCTACAGATGTTTCATTACTTGAAATATTGTATCGAATTGCAAACACAAATATTGAACCAAGGCTGTACCAATAATATAATATAAATTGTGACTCATGTCGCGAGTTTCGCCTTTTAATTTTGGTTTTATTGTTATTTTTAGCTGCCCCATTTGGAGCATGGAAAGGCATCATCCAAACTGAGCTTGCAAGTGCACGGGAAAACGGCCACAACGCCCATTTCGCCCTCAAGAGATTGCTTTCCTGCCATCAACAACAACTCCAGGAGCCAAATTAATATGTCCAACAACAACAAGGACGAACATCACAACAATGGGCCACTCACACCCACAGGTAACCTTTCCACACATTTATTTTACTCTAACCGTAATACTCCCAAAAGACTCAACTTACAAACTAACATACATTTCACTGACTCGTTTTGGGATGCATTTTATTAGAATTAAAACAACATTTTATTTAATATATAAAAATAATGTTTTAATTTACTTATTATAATAAACCTTAATATTATTTATTAATAACTTCAGTAAATTCCTTTTTATTCGGAATTTGCAATATATTTCTATACAATTAAAGCCACGGTATTCGCATTCCCAACTCAAAGTGGAGTCTGTGTATACTAAAATAATAGTTGTTTTGCAAAATACATTCTTCTCTGATTGATTCCCTATGTACGGCTTTGTATGTATTATCGATTCAGAATATTAATTGTTTCGGTGAAGTTGTAATTGAGTTGCGAATTCGGAGTCGGGTCGATTTGTATTCCATGCAGCATTGATTGTAATGTTTATACAAAACCGCTTCATTCCGGACCGAACGTGACCCAAAAGTTTCCAAATCCTCAATTCGCAGTAGAATTTCCTTAATCCGGCATGTGTTGATCGAAGTTTTTATCGCATCGACAAAAATTAAAGTCTTTAGATATTACTACACTTAATGACTTGTAGCGTAAACATGATGCAATCAATAAAAACTGGCAATATTCTAAATTATATCTTGAGGTAATTACTTTGAAAAGTTTCTCAATAAGCTAAAGTAGGATGCACTTTATGAACGAAAAAATAAATAAACTAGAGCAGTCAAGTGGAGTATTGGAAATGCTAAAAATCGTTTATTATTAGCAGAGAAAAAGCGCAGAGAAGCTTCCGTTACAAAACCGCGATTGGTCGGATTGAATGTCGTAATCCGAATCCGATATAAGCCCGGTTTTCAATCTTCCGCATATTCCTGATGAACGCATTTCGCATATTTATCAATCTATTTTTTTTCTTTGTTGGTATTTTCAGAAGCGCTTAGGCTGTATGGGAACCGATTGACTGAGTTCGAAAAGGCGGAAATCGAGACGTACTCCAAAATCTGGTACTTGGGCCTCGACGCGTGCAAAATCCATGGAGAAGTCGGACGCTCCCAGAACGGTGGATACGATGATGACAGCGGAAGCTACAACAAGGTAAGTTCATTCCATATACGCGGTTCATCGAAAAGCGCGATTATCGTCAATACATTCTAAGCTAATTAATATATAGTTAAGTGGAGTATTGCGCGTCGAAAATCGTTTCCGTTTGGAAATTAATTATTGTACCATAAAGCAGGAATAGAAAATCAAAAATATACACATACACTTAAGAAATCCTTGATTTCATATTTATTAATAAATCTTCGTGCAATTTGAAGTGATTTTTTTACATACGACCTCATTTCATGTGTAACCTTAACCAATCCGTGCATACATCCAACAATGTTTTTTTTAAATATTAAATAATGCGTGTCAAAGTTTTTATTGTTATTTTAATTATCCCGCAATTAGTTATAACAAAATGGTATTCTCACAGTGGGCGTTCGTTAGAATTTCAAAGGTCGATCTCATCGCAAGGATAATACCGATACAAATTGGAAAATACATTTTGTTATGTCCCAATCATCATGATGCCGTTTCCTGCGCGATTTGCATACATTTATGTAATCCACACTTTTGCAACGAAATTATGCCATTAATATGAAACTGAATCCGCCTACTTCCTGATGGATTAACTTATCGTCTGTGAAAACCGAACGCGCACCGTTATAAATATCTTATAAATTCATTATAGAGAATCCATATTATAAGGTAAATTAATCACTTTTTGATTTTTGCATCTCGAAACTGATCGGTTTCCCTTAAAGTTCCAATCGAATGCATTACATAAAGTGCTGAAGATCGTAACAATTAAGTTGTCTGTAATGCATGCAGTCAGTCCTACGATTGCAGAATGCAAACTGCAATAAATTTCAGATGGCAATCTCGCTCAATCTACCACTGACATCTCGGTGAACTGTTTAATTATTAAACCCTTTATGAACGGAAGGTCTTGTAGGTGTTCATTAATGGCAATGGGCGCACAAGATTATCTCTCTCGTCGAAGCAATTATTTGTTACATCTGCTTCGGCTCACATAACTGTTTATTAATTCACTTCATTAAGGAATATCTTAACATATACCACTTGCTTACACTCACTTCTAAACTTACTATTTTCATTTAAACACAGTACATAATTCATAAATCCTCATATTATCAAAATAAATATAATAAAATTTTAAAAGCATAGATGTTGACTAATGAAAATAAAAGATTTGATTAAATTCATTCATACATTATATACATTATACATAAATGCATTATGTACTTAAAGTTACTTTAATTCGAAATTTCTTATGAAATTTGAGAAAGTTTAATAACTAATTTAAAATAGTTTTCGAGAAAGTCTAACAATACAATGATAATATAAAAATAAGTTTGTTTCTTGTTATTTTTGAAGATATGATTAACCAAAATTTCATGGAAATATTGAAACGCATTTCATTATTTTGTGTATCCTATATAAATGTCATTATAACTGTATTCGCATTTTCGATTTTTACGGTAGATAGATTTTATAATTCTAACACCAAAAAAAAAGTCTATGGAAAAAATGGAATTGAGGCTAAGCACTTACAATACAAAATTGGTAAAATCCGTTCTAAATTGTATCTTTTGACCAGTATATCGAAAAGTACAGTTTAACATGTAATTGACCATGTATAATCATTGAAACTAATTCATTTTGGATTGTGCTCTATATTTCTATATAATATAAAAAATGGAGATAATTCCAGTTAATATTTATGTGTAAAAGGATACAAATATTTCCTTTAATGAACTACTTGAATAATATTACACTGTTTTAAAGTCACGTTTTGGAATGCAATATCTAAAGAGGTCTGGACAAACATTTGTATATAGGTAAGCACGCCCAACGCTCCAAATGCGTAGCAGAATTCGATGACAATTTTAGAAACTTCATAAACTCAGCAATTCTAAATATATGCTTTATTAATGAACCGTGAACAAATTTGTTATGATTAATATACGAAACGCAACATGTATACAAATCTAATCAGAATATTGGTAATTAAATATTTAGCATTGCCTTGATGAACTGACTATGTGTATATATCAGACCGAGTTCATTAACGATGTGTAAACCGTAGTTAGTCTCACATAAATCATCATTAGCGTCCGGAAATCTATTCTAAATAGTAATATGTGAGAATTCAAAAGAGAGGAATAAATGTTCTTTAATTCTATATTATTGTAACTTTAATTCCAGCCTGGTAACCGGTTTTAATTTTAGATGTCGTCCCGTCCGCCACACTTCTGGATATCTGTGTTAAACTTGAATATTTCGTGTATGTAACGTAAATTGTAACACATTGAAAATGTCAACTAGATTACGGTCTTGCGTTTATATACAACAAATGTTGTAAATATAGAAGCCGAATTATCGGAGAAACACGTAATAAGTGCTTCTCTTCCTCCTCTCCTATTTATTACCGCTTCCGAAAATAGTAGCACGGTTTCGAATAAAGTATCCGGCAAGAAAGAGGAGCTGTTATTAATTAACTAATTGAAGAATTGACTGTTATTTGCTTAACGTAAATAAACAGAACGAAAAGATTAAATAAAGTTTCAACAGTTGAGAAAAAGAAACATTTCACAACGTTCGAAATTGCAATTGCAGTTGAAACAAAACAGCTCCGTTTCGACGTTTTGATTATAAAAAGAGCGAACGAAAGAATGAAAGAGCAGAGCCGAAGGAGAAAAGAAAGTGTGTTTAGAAAACCTCTGTATGTTCTTCTGATAATTGCAATCAAAATAAAGCTGTACTAAATTTAGAGCGAGCGTGCGGATAAAGGATGCTTATTTATAGCGGCTGCAGTGGACAAATGTTTTATTGCGTTAAACATGAATGAAATTTCAATACTGCAGAGTTTCTAAATTTAACCACGATTTTCAGGTTTTGCACGATCACATCAGCTACCGCTACGAAATTCTCGAGGTAATTGGTAAGGGGAGTTTCGGGCAAGTGATCAAGGCTTTGGATCACATGACCAACAAACCGGTAGCCATCAAAATCATCCGCAACAAGAGACGCTTCCATCATCAAGCTCTCGTCGAGGTGAAGATCCTGGACCATCTACGTAAAAAGGACGCTGATGGATCGCACAATGTCATCCACATGCTGGAGTACTTTTACTTTAGAAATCATCTCTGCATCTCTTTCGAATTGATGAGGTAATTTATCATAACAATCATTTGTAAATAATTTTAAATCAAAGCATACCTTCTACATTTCAGCATCAACTTGTATGAACTCATCAAGAAGAACAACTACCAGGGATTCAGCCTCAATCTGATAAGGAGATTTGCGAATTCCCTACTGAAATGTTTACGTCTTCTTCAAAAGGAGCACATCATACATTGTGATCTCAAACCGGTAAGTGAAAGAAGATACATCTTATTTGCGTTATTGTCGTTACTTCTAACGTTTACTTTCTTAACCGGCAATGAAAGTGCTTTTCTTCGCACATTTACTGAAAGGGAGAAGTGGAGCAAGAGGGTCGTTTTCTACAATCCCCCGCGGTTTTACGCATCACGTAAACTTCCCGCATTACGAATTCCGGACACACTTTTGAACTCTATTTGTTTTTCATCTTTACGGCTCCCCGAGATATAAAAAAAATACTCTATTTTCTTTCTGACTAATAAACATGTCGCTTCTATACGCCCTCGCCCTTATTTTCACAAATTATTCCACACTGTCTTACATCATTTTATAATACATTCAATTTATAGATCATTAACATATGTTTATTTTCTTTATATAAAGATAAAGTCTCTAATCCCAAAGTGTAATCGACGAGAAGTAACTTTGTATTTTGTATTAGTAAATCGGTCACCCAAATTGCTTAACTTTTATGAGAACCCTTATATAATCAATGAACATTACCTTTAGTTGAACTATTATTACATAGTAAAATTACTATAGTAATTACTATAGTAATTACTATAGTAATTTCACATTTTATTACTCTGCAAACAACTGAAACAAGCGACATTAATACTCGAACATAAAGAAGAATAAATGGAAAAATAGCACACAGACTAATGATTGCATATCCATAAAAAAATAATGAACAAAATCGTTACTGTCAACATGATTGAGGTAGACTTAGAAAACATGCACATGCACTTAAACTTCTACCCATTAATATTATTTTTTCCAAGTGCATAATTTGAATACGAAATTCGCGGTTTGCCATTATTGGCACGTTCCAGACCTACTGACATTCACATCTTGCAGATATAAAGTTAGGTATGACATTTTGATTTATTTTTATCTACAAAAATAGATTTCAGTTTTATATTTATCACCCCAATAACATTTTCCTAAAACGATGTTATATTTACTTTCATGTTTATAATCAGATTTTATTACATCTTCCTGCAATTTTTAAAACAATAAATTTTACATACATTTAACTACAATCGTTTTTGATTAATTATTTATAATTAATTAAATTTTATGTATTTGTATTTGACATAACTTGTATTTATTTAGTTTACTTGCAAATACAAAAAAATATGTAACGTTTCAATTTATTTGTTAAACTTCTATTAAAACATTCGGAAAAGGAGTGAAGCCAAGGATCATGACAATATATAAATTTGAAACGGTATAATACAAAGTTTTGTAATCGCAAGAGGAGAAATCGTCGTGTTTTTGGATTGGATTGGGATAATTGGGACGCAATCGGGCGTCCAAAGAGATTTATAGAATCGACACTCCAAAGTACGCACCGTGTGATTGTAATAAATAAATAAACAATGCGTTTCTGGTGGAGATAAAAACAGTTTCCTAAGCATAGACATAAACACTCCTCTTTGTTTATTGACACTGCCTACATGTATAAATACTGCGTGCCTCGCATATATGCAACACGTATAAATATATTTCGAGGATGGAAAAAGGATCATGTATGCCGATGGAATTATATTATATAACGAAACTAAAGAAGGCCTGCCTCGCGTTGCGTCTTTTGTGACTCGGAACAAGTAGGAAATGAAGGAATATAATGAATGCGTAAAGCAAGCGGCGTGCGATGTTATAATCTTCCGACGAACACGCAACTAATCCTAGGAATACGAACGTATGCAGGATTAGGGATGATTAACTTGTGTAATCCGTTTAATTAAAAATGTTGTGAGATTTGAATCAAAACATCGTTCATTATCATGTTAACCGCTTACAAAATTGTCGGTATAAAGAAATATTGAAGTAAATAATATACTTTGTCATTCATAATTCAAATAAATTAACAAAATAATATGCGTGTAGTGTGCGTTATAACGATGACTTTAAATTAGACATTGTGTGCTGTAAATAGATTTCGCAAAATTGAATGGAATTGATGGTGCATCATGCGACACGACTATCGATTTCGTTACACGTTGAGTTGAGGATTATCCGATTGGCGAAAAGAAAATTAACTATCATTTAATTAGAAAGGGATATGTGCCTGATTAATTGTCGGTAATAAATTCGATTGGAACGAAACAATTGGAATGTGATTGATGTAGTTTGCAACTAGACTTAATGACCAATCTAAAGGATGTTCACTGACAAATCTAAACGACTTCATTTTGCGTGGTTTGCGTGCGTTTCTAATGATTAATATAATCGCTGTTCCTTTTAGGAAATGAACGTTGTCGGACATTTCCTGCAGAGTCATTAGAACGATAACATCGGTATTTTATTCTTGAAAATAACAAAAAAAAATGTTTGTTGCAGGAGAACGTGTTGCTACAGCAGAGAGGCAGCTGCTCCATAAAAGTCATAGACTTTGGAAGCTCGTGCTACTCCAGCCAGCGCGTCTACACCTACATACAATCCAGATTTTATCGCTCTCCGGAAGTCATACTAGGTCTCACTTACGGAACCCCCATTGACATGTGGAGTTTAGGTACAGCCTATCTGCTGCAACTGGCATCAATTGATCTAATAACTTCCAATTTCCTTATAGGTTGCATCCTCGCTGAACTCTATACCGGGTATCCCCTATTCCCAGGCGAAAATGAAGTGGAACAATTAGCTTGTTTGATGGAGGTTTTAGGTGTACCGGGCGATGAAATTATCAACGCGGCAACTAGGAGAAGACTGTTCTTTGGTATAAACAAAATTCAACTATGATACGAGAAATAGATGTCTAAAATCGATAATCCTCTTTACAGACTCCAGGGGAAACCCAAGATGCTTGACCAATACAAAAGGACGCAAACGAAAGCCAGGATCAAAGAACTTGGCCATTGCGTTGAAATGCAATGACGCCCTTTTCATTGATTTTATCTCAAGATGCCTCGAGTAAGTCTATTAACAACACTATTTGTTACCATTCAATTCCTTTCAACTCTTCAATTGATTTATTAAGTGATTGAAAATAACTAAATAAAGTGCAAATCCTTGATTAAACTGCAATTTCCAAATTAATGAAGAAACTGATTTCTTAATAGAAATTAGGGTCAATACAAAAATTTAAAATAAATAAACTTGTTCTAATTATATTATTTTGCTAGATGGAACCCCAGAAAAAGAATGACCCCGGACGAAGCGCTTCGACACGAATGGATCCAATCGGCGATGGCCCAGAAATCTGGAGATTTGAGGCACAGCTTATCGGAGGCGAGCGTAAACCAGGAATCGTCCAGCCATTCGAGCAGCGGCACTTCCAGTAGTTACTCTCGGCAGCATTATAAGTGTGTTGTCGTGAAAAGTGATAAAGTATTAAAGGCCAAAATCGTAGACAGTAGTAAACTAAACGAAGTCTGTACGTCGGTAGACTCAAATTTGAACGATTCCGGAACGTTCCTTCCGCCAATCCTCTAGTTTAGAAAACAAAGCGAAGAATAAAAATGAAGGAAAAAAAAATCACATTAAACAAGATGAGAAATTACGGTCGACCAAATCATATATTTCATTGTTTAGACTATATATAATATATATGTTGCGTTACCCCATTTTTTTTTCTAATATATTTTTTAACGACAATTAGCGGAATTTATTAATTTCCATAGCGCTCTCTAATTAAAACGCATTATAGCGGAAAAATAAATTTTAAAAAATATGCCAACAATTAGTCTACGTTTTGTTTTGTTCGACTAGATAGATAATTGTTGTTGTGACTGAATATGCCTGTTCGAAGTTGAGGAATCAGATATTTCAAGCTTGTTAATGTAAAAGGATTGAATATAAATGAAAATATTAAGAAGACAAAAAAAATCTATCAACAGAAGAATAGAATATTTTAGCATAATGATTATCATAAGATTAAGAAAGAATGATTTTTAAGTGTATTTATAACGCCTTTTGAATATGTATTTAATTGCAATTTTTTTAGACAAACGTTTGTAATAGTATCCCCACCCTCTATGCTAAAGTCCTTTAAACAGCGTTCAAACTAAAAACAATGTTCAAATGTTTCAAACAACGAGAATGAAAATCCAAATCGGTTATTAAAGGGCTCTAGCTTTAATTTTACGTGTGTTTTGTTGTGCTTGTGGTAAAGTCATTTTCAGAGAAATCGTTGCTGCCTTGAGGACCACACGAAACAAACACAAATTGAAATGTGCAGAATCACACTCAATCCTATTTAACACACAATGTGTTCTCTGAAATTGGCTTGAGGGCTTTAGTAGCCATTTTTGTAAGACAAAACAATTATAACGCAAATTTACTGTATGATCCCTATTGTGATATCAACTGATAATATATTTGTAGTAGACACCCTGGCCTAGGACGTAAACGATAATTAATTGTCTACAGGATTTATTACATAATCAAAGTAACTCTTAAGACATAGGTTATTATTTTTTCGATTAGTTCGATTTATTCTCCCTCGGACATTTCTTACTCTCGAAAAACATACAAACAAAAAAAAGATAGTAATAGAAGCAGAATTAAAACAAAAGTATTACAAATCGTTGCACTTTGATACGGAAAATTTGTTAGTAAACATTTGTAACATCGCGATATAAGACTGAAGCAGCAAAGTCTTTACATATTATATTTATTTTATGAACAGAAATTCCCTTAAGGGATTTAACAAAATCATTTTTATCAAAATGAAATATAGAATCCCCTTCTAATCTATTATTTCACTCATTATTCATAATTGTGTAATCTATATTTAAAAAATAAATAAAACTTTAGAAAGTAACCCGCATTTTTTCTTTACAACGGCATATTCCCATGTTTTCTTGGTGGATTAGTCATTTTCTTAGTGGCGAGTACATCAAGATCTCTGCACAATCTCCATCTAGTTGTTCTTGGTTCTATGACGTCATCGATGAAGCCTCGTTTAGCGGCGTGGAAAGGATTTCCGAACGTGTTGTTATATTCAGCTTCATATTTATCGGCATTTTCCTTGCCTCTGTATAAAACGGAAACCGCCCCTTTGGCACCCATCACTGCCAATTCGGCAGTTGGCCAAGCGTAATTCACGTCACCCCTTAAATGCTTTGAAGACATTACATCGTAAGCCCCGCCGTATCCCTAAACATATACTACAATTTATACAATATAACACATAAATTTCCATCCACAAACCTTCCTTGTAATAACTGTCAATTTGGGAACTGTTGCCTCGGCGTAAGCGTACAACAATTTTGCTCCGTGCCTAATAATTCCTGAGGCTTCCTGATGAACACCCGGTAAGAAACCGGGTACATCCACCAATGTTATCAAAGGTATATTGAAAGCATCGCAAAATCGCACAAAACGCGCTGCTTTGATTGAAGCATCAATATCTAAGCAACCTGTATTAAACACATATCAATATAAGAAAAAGTTCTTTTTTTGTGTCGAATAAATTATACCTGCAGCAACTTTTGGTTGATTCCCAACAACGCCTACAGTTTTTCCATTCATCCTAGCAAATCCAACAATAATATTTTTAGCGTAGTTAGGCATAATCTGGAAGAAGTCCCGTTCATCTATGATACTCAAAATGACATCAAGCATATCGTACGGTTCAATAGTTTTCAACGGAATTATTGTATCTAAGATAGGAACGTCTTTATCGCTGAAGTAAAACAAATAACATTACATAAAAGAAAGTTTCAATTCGAAAAAACTTTATACCAAGGATCGTCGCATGCAATTACTGGAATTGGCTGTGAATTAGATTGCGGCAAGAATCCTAGGAAATATCGTAACTGTATTAAAGCATCGATATCGTTTTTGAAAGATTTGTGCGCAACACCGGACACGGTTGTATGCGTGTGAGCACCGCCCAACTTTTCTTGAGTTACGTCTTCATTAGTTACAGACTAAAAGTAATATTGTGCTATTAATTTTAGAAAAAGGATTATAACCGAGAAAGCGATTTTTATACTTTGACTACATCTGGGCCTGTGACGAATAGAAAGGAAGTATCTTCGACCATGAAAGTGAAATCCGTTAGTGCAGGGGAATAAACGGCACCGCCGGCACATGGACCCATAATTAAAGATATTTGTGGTATAACACCTGAGGCTAAGACGTTCCTCTGAAAGATATCCGCATATCCTGCTAAAGAGTCCAACCCTTCTTGAATACGCGCACCTCCTGAATCGTTCAATCCTACAATTGGAACACCAACTGCCATTGCTTGATCCATTATTTTACAAATCTTCTTCGAATGAGTACTCGATAAACTACCACCGAATACAGTAAAATCTTGACTAAATACATAAATTGGTCTTCCATTCACTAAACAGTGACCTGTTATCACAGAATCTCCAGGGAACTAGAATCAAAGCAATTTATATTTATCGTAACTTTTTGAAACTGTATTACTTTTTGCAATTCCATCCCAAAATCAGTGCACGTATGTTCCATGAACATATCATATTCGATGAAAGATCCGGGATCGGCGAAAAGATCAATCCGCTCTCTTGCAGTTAATTTTCCCTGAAACAACGTATCCTAACATTTATTTCTCAACGTTCATTCAATCTACATACCTTCTTATGTTGCGCGTCAATTCTATTTTGTCCACCCCCTAGGAGGGCTTTCTCTTTAGTCTCCTGAATTTGTTTCTCTATTTTAAGTCTATTTGCGACTGCACAGTACGTTAACTTTGGTGTTAATTTAGATGAATCCTGTGTTATTTTCAGAAGGAATTTCGTCCGGAAGGCCTGCATATCGTTCAGTTAATTTTCTGCTGGCGGAACTATACAGAATGAAGTTCAGTTCACGAAATTCGTGTTTACATATAGACGGTCAGATTATTTTCAACATCTCTTATCAAGAAGCTGCGATGTATCACATATTACAGACATCAATTAATTAGGCTTTTATCAGCATATTTTTCCTTTTAAGAATTTCATGTTTGATTATACCCATTATGTATTTATTTACAATTTAATTGAAATATAAATTATAATTATCAATGAGACAACAAAGGCAATAAACATAATGTATACTAAGATCTCAATAATCTTAATAAAGAAATGCGCTTATTATAATATTTTCTTCTTATTACTCTTAATAGTTAATGTAGATTACATGTTTAAAACCGATATGTTTATGCTATGAATAGCTTTTATTAAAGATTTCAAGCAAATTTTAAAATGTTTCTGTTACAATATAAAAAGTTTTTTTTTATAATAATTTTCTTATTATCTGCAACTTATCATACTTCAAACAATAAAATTGCTAAGGTTGGACTAACTGTTATATTTATTGAAATCTTATAGTTGGTATCAATTGGTCGACGACATTGAAATATTTTGGTCTAGAACCTCATGTTTATGTCAAATAGTTTGGAAAATATTAAAGTGTAAAAGTATAATAGTTTTCATTCAAATTTTAACAAGATGGTTAAAAAGAAAAATGGTACTTATTAATTATTATTGTAATATCTAAATTAACTGTTGCTCTTGTTTTTAGAATATTCCCACTTAACAATGGAGGAGAAAAAAGTAATAACAGTTGCAGAAATTGTTCAAGAATTAATAAAAGCACACAAGGAACGCTACAATGTGAATTTGAATTCTCTGAAATGTAAAATTGCCTCAAAATATGGCATGGAATCATCACCACGTTTGGTAGATATCATAGCAGCTGTTCCCCATGAGCATAGAAAGATATTGTTGCCGAAGCTTTTAGCTAAACCTATCAGAACAGCCAGTGGTGTATGTATTATCCATATTTGTAGTATCTTATACTTATAGCTTTGTTTTTATAGATTGCAGTTGTTGCTGTTATGTGCAAACCACATCGTTGTCCACATATTAATGTTACTGGTAACATCTGTGTTTATTGTCCAGGAGGACCTGATTCTGATTTTGAGTATTCTACTCAAAGTTACACTGGTTATGAACCAACATCTATGAGAGCTATAAGAGCAAGATATGATCCATATCTTCAAACAAGACATAGAGTGGAACAATTGAAACAATTGGGGCATAGTGTTGATAAAGTTGAATTCATCATTATGGGTGGTACTTTCATGAGTTTGCCTGAAGATTACAGAGACTACTTTATTAGGAATTTACATGATGCTCTATCAGGACACAAAAGTAGTTCTGTTGCTGAAGCAATTAAATATTCAGAACGTGCTAATTCCAAGTGTATTGGAATCACAATTGAAACCAGACCAGATTTTTGTATGGAAAGACACTTATCAGATATGTTGAATTATGGATGCACTAGATTGGAAATAGGTAATATTTTTATTTACAATAATGAAAGTGGCATATGTTCATTTATCATTGCTTTTAGGTGTACAATCTGTTTATGAGGATGTGGCTAGAGACACAAATAGGGGACACACAGTTGCAGAAGTATGTGAAACTTTCTGCTGGGCAAAAGATGCAGGTTTTAAAGTTGTGGCACACATGATGCCAAACTTGCCTAATGTAGACTTGGAACGTGATCTCGAACAATTTATTGTAAGTTTTTTACGCAAAACAATATAATTAACAAACTGTTAATGTTTGATGATTTTAGCAATACTTTGAAGACCCGAAATTCCGATCTGATGGTTTGAAAATATATCCTACTTTGGTTATTAGGGGAACTGGACTCTATGAATTATGGAAAACTGGAAGATATAAGAGTTATCCTCCGTCAGTTCTAGTTGATTTGGTGGCTAATATCTTAGCTTTGGTTCCTCCATGGACGAGAGTATATCGTGTCCAAAGAGATATTCCAATGCCACTCGTAAGTTCAGGTGTAGAACACGGAAATTTACGTGAATTGGCACTTGCAAGGATGAAAGATTTGGGTCTTAAATGTCGTGATGTACGCACTCGTGAAGTAGGAATTACTGAAATACATCAAAAAGTTCGTCCTGACAAAGTGGAATATGTACGAAGAGATTACAGAGCTAATTCAGGCGATGAATCTTTCCTTAGCTACGAAGATCCGGAGCAAGATATTCTTATTGGTTTATTGAGATTGAGGAGATGTACTAAGAAATACACGTTCAGACCGGAATTGCTAGGAAATGTTTCCATTATACGTGAGTTGCACGTATACGGAAGTGTTGTTCCCGTTAGCGAGAGGAATGTTCAGAAATTCCAGCATCAAGGCTACGGTGCACTGCTTGTAGAACAAGCTGAAGACATAGCGATGAAAGAGCATCTGTCTACAAAGATCGCTGTTATATCTGGAGTTGGAACTAGAAATTATTATAAGAAACTGGGATATACATTGGAAGGTCCTTATATGGTGAAAAGTTTAAAACCTGGCGAATATAAAACTGTTACGGAGTGTCTTTACGGCCCTTCAGGTAATTTTGAATTACTTGCGGAACCAAGGGTCCTTCCTCCATCGCCAATATTAAGCCATGACGAGTTTGTTGAGGAAATGAAAAAAACTGCAAGACCAAGAAGAGTGATTCGAAATCATATTAATAATGGACAAAACAGAGCACTTTAAAGATTTTCTATTTTCAAAGGAAAATAGAATCATCTGTATCTATAAGTGAATATATAAATATAAATAGATGTAATAAACACTTTGTTAATAATATTACTATGTATTATATATTTTTAACCAAACACAACTGGGTTTAATTATTTTTCTACTTATTTGTATGAAATGAATGACAGATGATAAACATAATTTTCACTTCAATATACGATTTGATAATATTTTATTAATCAATGTCAAAATTCTAGTAGAATGAACTTTACTCAAAATAAACCCTTTAAAGGGTAATTTTTAGCGAAAATGATAATCAAATAAAATTCGAAGTAAATCCTTCCTCTAATTACTATAAGAATGACTAGAAAAGTGTCTGAAATTAGACGGGTAAACGAACAAAGTATATGCTTCACGGTATTGTTAAAATAATAGCTTATTGCAGGATTCCGAAGAACAACTGTATGAAGCCTTTTTGAAAAACAGCAAGACATATTTCGAGGAGAACTTTACATCACGAGCCGAAAACATTCGCGTTGATATTGAAGATTTCGATGTTTTGGCGAAACTGGGAGCTGGTGCATTTGGCAAAATTGTAAAGGTCTATTGAGTTGCTAGTGAAAGTTTAAAATTCACTTTTTATTTAATAGTTTCTGGTGCAACATAAATTAAGTAAGAGCTATTATGCTTTGAAAGTTTTGAAAAAGAAGCTATTGAAGCGCACTAAGCAGATTGATCATACGTTAACAGAAAAACGTGTCATGCAAACAATGAGACATCCTTTCATGGTAGGTATGGAGTTTCACGCCGTCGACAACTGTAATGTTTATTTCGTTATGCCATACATGCACGGTGGAGATTTATTCGGAGTCCTTAATAAGTAAACTTTTAATAATGAGAGTCTAATCATTATATGCATATAACATTATTGTAGATACAGAAAGTTTGACGAGGATATGACACGATTTTATGCGTCTCAGGTATTTTTAGCGCTAGAGCACATGCATTATCTGGATGTCGTTTTTAGAGATTTAAAACCAGAAAATATATTGGTCGACCATGATGGCTATATTAAGCTTACGGATTTCGGATTTGCAAAGGTAACTAAACAACAATCGGCAAACCGTCTTTTACCATAATATATATAGCTAATTAAAGGAAGAACATTTACAATTTGCGGAACACCAGAATACATCGCTCCCGAATTGATTATGATGAAAGGATATGGAATGTCCTGCGATTGGTGGTCTTTTGGTATCCTTATATATGAATTGACCGCCGGTATAGTACCATTCAAAGATAAAGGCGATCCGCTTAAACTGTACAGCAAAATTGTTGATGGAAGATTCCCAATGATTCCAAGTTTTAGCAAAGAACTGAAAGATTTAATGTTCGATTTGCTTGAAATTAATGTTAGCAAAAGGTTATATAATCAGTAAAACATTTATTATATTAATTCATATTATTATTTTTACTTATAGGATTGGTTGCTTAAGAAACGGCCCTACGGATATAAGACGACATCCCTGGTTCCGCAACGTAAAGTGGCTTGAATTATTTAACAAGAAGATCAAGGCTCCTTATAAACCTCCACCGCCAAATATTGAAGCTTTAATGACTAAAGCTTTTAAATATGCTCCTAAAATCTCAATAGATCTCGATTATGTGGATAGTGGGTTGCAATTTAACGAATATTGACCCATTTACAAAAAAACGTATGTTTCTGTTTGCTTCTAATTTGTGCACACAATTATGTAAATATATTTAATAAATTTTGTTAATAAGATAAAATTGTTTTTATTTTCTTCTTTGTTAACAAATTGCATTTAATACAAAAGATATAAGAACGCTATCAGATATGAAGAAATTTGAAATTTTGTAATGTTGGTTGTCTATGCAGAACATTGAAATTCCAAAATCTGTTTAAATATTTACTAAGCACTGATAATAGCTCATTCAAACACACAATTTTTATCGCAAAACTGTAATGAATATATTACATTCACGTCGAACATCAATGTTGCAACAGTTGTTGATTTTACAAATTATAATCTCACACTTAATAGCAAATAATAAAAGCAGATTGAAAATATTTTCCATTAATCGTAATCATTTCCAACTCGTATCTAACACATTTCACAAACAGCCTTGCAGCTGCTGTATAGCGAATACTAGATGCAAGTAAATTTGAATATTTCCGTCAGTTGAAACGATTCTAGGAATTGCTTTAATTCCCTTACGTTGCACAATCTGCTAGAAGTGTAGAGAACTTTTCCGTCTGTCCTATTGTTAGTGAAAATATCAGTGAGTGTATGGTTATGTTTGAATCTTTGTTTTGATGATTGTCGTCGGAACAAAAGTACCGACAATTAGAAATCTAGGCAGTTTTAGAGGAAAAAGTGGTCCAGGAAAATGTTAAACAGTTAAACGATCAGAACGAGAATCGGCGGCGAAACAGGTGGGTGATATGTCCGGGTGAAATTATTTTCCTAGTATTTTATAATTGCTTTCTAGTGATGGCATTGCGATGGAATTCCGAATTTTACATGGCCATGGAACACAGAGATCTGCAGGCCAATGCCATGGCTCTGAACAACACAGGAACATATGTTCTTCTAGCTGGGTAAATACATTGCAAATATCTCTGTGCTTCTATTACATTACACTTTACTGACTTCAGTCGAAGATACATAGCCATCCGGAATTTGGATGACAATGATGTGGACAACATCAAGAAATTCCCAAGGCAAAGCAAATATGATGTTGGAGCAGCTGAGTGGAATCACACAGATTATAACAGTGATCTCTGTGTTATTTCAGTAAGAATCTTTCAATTAGCAAATTTTCCCATCAAATCTCTTTATATTCTAAATTTATTAATACCCAGTTGTATTATAAATGGATTATTTATAACTCTTTGTTATTATTGTTCACCTATTTAGAATTCAATTCTGGTAGGCACTGACTAATTTTCCACTTGCACACGTCAAGTGCAAATAATTCAATTCAAAGCAGACTTTGAATCTATTTTCGTGAGAGCTGTTAATAACCTAGCGAGGAAAGCGATTAAATTGCGTCTCATATGAAAATTTTTCGAGCGACAACCTCGACGCTAATTACAGCTAAAAAATATATCACTTATTTGAAGGAAACCTCTATACATTACATTTAATCATTAATTTTTTTTTTGGGAATTAAATTTTTCATTTCTAAATATAGTTTGAAATTGTTGTGATCATTCTGTTGCAACATATATTGATCCTATGAAATTATTCTCAAAATACTATATAATATACATTGACCTCTCTTGTAACCTTGAAATATTCTGATTAGTTAGCTTCTTACTACTAACGTTATTTTTAATTTTCTTATTGGAATTCAGAAATAGTATAATCAAAAGCAAATTATGCATTTTAGTATCTATTGTTTTTATGGAAAAAAAATGTTATCTACTAGGAACTTGGTTAGGGAATTTTATAACAAACAATAGATAAACATGTTATAATGCCTGATAACGAGGCATGGTATGACGTAATCATGCGAGCTGAAGGATAATTCAATTACCTTTGTTATCTTGAATAAATGAGATTATGATTTTTTTTTTATAGTTTAAACAATTACATTTTGTGAAGAAAATTATTTATCATATGTGTTTGCTTTTTAGAGCAACCAAAGATTGGAAGTATTAACATGGCGCAGCGGCGAATTGACCCAAACACATTCGCTGCGAGCTCATACACGTGTGATAACAGATTTGAATTGGCACAGAACTGACCCGCATCTACTTGCTTCGAGCTCTGTGGATACATTTATCCATCTATGGGACTTGAGAGATTCACGAAGACCGACAAGTTCATTATCGGCTATTGCCGAGGCGTCGCAAGTGCGATGGAATTACGTAAACCCGCATATCTTAGCCACTGCCCATGATGGTGATATAAAGTTATGGGATAATCGTAAAGGAACTGCACCGGTTCTATACTTGTCCGCTCATTTAGCTAAAATACACGGTTTAGATTGGAATCCCAACATAGAATCACAGTTGGCTACGTCCAGCCAAGACAATACCGTTAAGTTCTTTGATATCAATAATCCAAAAAAAGCTGAATACGTTCTGAACACGAATGCACCCGTCTGGAGAGCCAGATTCACGCCATTCGGAAACGGATTAGTTACTGTTGTTGTGCCGCAATTGCGAAGGGGTGAAAACAGTTTATTGCTGTGGAATACCGCAAACAGAGCGACACCGGTCCATACTTTTGTTGGTCACAGGGACGTTGTTTTAGAGTTTGAATGGCGCAAACAAAAAGGCGGTGATATAGATTTTCAGTTAGTCACATGGTCCAAAGATCAGTCATTGCTTGTCTGGCGTATTGAACCATTTTTACAGAAACTATGCGGTCATGAACCCGATGAAAGTAAAGATCTCGATTCCGATGATATTTTTGAATCCGTTGAGATACCAAACAAGTTATCTCAAAAGTCTCAAGCTCTGCAGCAGGAATTTTCCCTGCTCAATTTGCAGATACCGAAGATGGATGTACTGAAAATGGATCTGGTTAAAAGATTTTGCACTGTATGCGCTAAAACTAACAATTTTTTAGTGCTATTACAAGTTAGTTTTCCTACTGCGTATCCCCACGGGGTGCCTCCAACTTTTCAAGTTTTACAAGGTAGTACTAAGAATTCAGTTTCACGATGATATAAATCTCACGTTTTATGGTTTTTAGATTCTTCAATCGACGATTCAACATCCGCAAAATTATTGCAAACTTTAACTCATATTGCCCAGCAACGAGTGCTGAAAAACAGAACTTGCCTTGAACCTTGCCTGCGACATATGGTCGCAACTTTGGAACAGTTAGCGTCCGACTTGAACGACAAAAGACGTTATGACAGTCCGTACTTCGAACCACCCAATTTATTTGGTGCCTACAATGAAGACGCTTACATCCCATTTCCGCGGACTTCCGGAGCTAAATTCTGCTCTGTTAGTACACTCGTTTGTTTTGGACGTCCGACGGTATCCCGCCGATTTGCCACGAAGATGGATTCTTCAACACCTCGTGCTCTCTCAGCCCTAGGAAGCGTATTTTCTTCAAAACGACCCTCCGACACGATAACTATCTCTTCATTTTATTACCAAACACAAAGGAATCGCCCTAAACATATTAATACAGCTCACAATCTATTTAGACCACAGGTGGTGCTCTACGACACTTCCGAATTGTTTTATGTAAACAAACAATTGGCCGGAAAGTATATTTTAGATGGAGACGTGGGAACTCTGTGCAAATACAACGGGAACGAAGCTGCCAGAGTTGGAAGATGGGATCTCGTACAAGCGTGGACATTAGCTGAATTGGTTTCTGGACCGCAACAGGCAGAAGAAGACATGCATTGTAATCCGTTTGGAACACAACTAATGAAATTTCTGTAAGTAAAACAGTATATTTTTTATAAATACATTGAGATTTCAATACAACTATTTGTTTCAGAATTGAACACTACGCATCGAAAACCGACATACAAATGGCAGCTATGCTATCGTGTGTATTTGGCAAAGAACACGAACACACGAATAGAAAACAGTCCTTAAAATCGCTTTTATCACCAGGAACGGTAAGTGTTAAAGTGTAACTATATATCTTGTAACGGGAAATTTTAGACAACACATTGGCATTTTTAACTAAGTCATAACCATTACATTTTCTTCTCTTTGTAGCAATTAATTCCCGGGAAGCGGTGGCTTAAGGTAACTAAGCTTTTATAACTTCCAGATGTTTGTTTCAAGTGGGCTTTATTATTAATCACATGCATGTTACGTTACTCTCGCTTGTATCTTATTCAATTTCAGATTACCGTCAGTCTATTTTTGACAAGCTCAAAATGCATTTCGAAATACTATTTACCGTGAAACTAATTTTAGATATTTTCTGTTTGCAGGGAGGCTCTCCATATCACACTATTCCTCCAGCCGACGTTGTTGCTGATGGATGGGTCTTTCCATTGTTAAGATCGGCCAGATCTAATTCTTTGGATAATTTACGAATAGAGGATAATTCGATCGTACCTTTAAAAGTAAATACCACCACATCCCTTTACGAATATTACAAGCAGGCGTATGCTGAGATTTTACATAGATGGGATTTGTTGTACGAGCGAGTGGAAATATTAAAATACATGTGCGTTCCGGGTGAAATACACAAAGGGGTGGAATTCCTGTCCGACTGCCAACACTGCTTAGAACCGTCCCGAAATTGTAGATGCGCAGCGTGTAAGAAACTTAGTTTAAACTGTGTAGTATGTCACATTTCGGTGAGAGGAAGTTCCAACTGTTGCCTTGTCTGCGGTCATGGTGGACACACCATACATATGCAACAATGGTTCTCTTCCTACGAAATGTGTCCTTCCGGTTGTGGATGTCGTTGCTTAATTGAGACTGGGACTGTACTGAGTCCGTAGATAACTGTTTTTGGTTACTTAATTTTTGTTGAGATTATTTACAGGGTAATCATATTTATTTTTATTTATACAAACTATATTTATACTGAATGAAACATGAAACTAATTAATAATAGAATATAGGAATTATAATTAATTTGACCAAATACAACTGAAATAATAAATGCACTTCAATTTGAAAGGACAAAACAAAAACATTTTTTGTATTTAAATTATAAATAAATTCAAGAAACTAAATACCTCTACTCTTTTCAAAAACTTCTCTGATTCATTACCGTTGGATTCGCCATATTGCAACCAACAATAGAAATTAACGGCAATCTACCTCTAACACAAAGCACTACCAAACGTAATTCGTGACGTTCTAAAAGAAATTTCCATTTCAGTACTGTTTTTTCGTCGTCAGACATGTTCAAAAAATCTGAAACCTATAATATATAAATTAATAATAATCCAACTGATTTCTTAAATAATATTTAGTGTTTACCTTGCATTTTAAAATCCTTTCCGCCGTTGCTCCAGTAATTTTACAGTTCAACAAGGATCCAGTATGGTCAGAAAGTTTCACTTTCAAATCAAAAGCTACTTCTGTCGGTACATCTTCGCGAATGCAATTCACATTTTCACATTTATTCAACAAATTCGATACTTGACACTTGCATAATGTACTAAAAACAAATCTAAACTATAATTTCAAATATACGAATTAAATAAATAATACCATCTCGTTGTGACAATGGTGGATAATCCATCTAAATCCATGTAAGTAATTGCTGCATACAGCAAAGCTGTAAACTGCTCTTCTGGTTGAGAATGACATACCTCGTCGATCTTTGTATTAATTTGTTGAATGTTCATAACATTTTGAATGGTACTTGCTAAGAAGAATATTTATAATTATGCATCTATTTGATTTCATTAAACTTACGTTCTAGAAATGTATAAGACAACTTGTCTAAAATAGCCGATTGAGCTATAACTGCAGTCCTTGCGTATTCCCTCAAATCGCGTGCCTCTTTACATTCCGGATCTTCGGTGACGATGGTTTTTGAAGTAAACGTAGCTCTTGCGCGTTTTTGGTAATTATCAAAACTAATTCTCATATCTGTCATAAATAATATTGTATAACGAGATTTCCACAGCGACGCCCTTTCAAATAAAATTACATCAATCAACATCGATATTTTCATTCAAACAATAGAATTACCTGTATATGAAATCAGAATCCCATATACTCAAACCAAAGCCGGTGGCAGTGTAATCAAATACAACTAAATTCCTCACATAAGAATCTCCTGATTTGGTTTTAACATTTCTAGCATCTCCAATTGAACTTATTGCTACAAGAATATCGACCAATTTTCCTAAAATTACAACTACCTTAAATAAAGTTTATTTTACATTGATGAACACGCACCTTCCCAAACTTTAGTATTTGCTTGAATATCCGCCAATGCTACATAATTAGTAATAGGTTTCGTTGGTAATCGGATTATAGAGTTCATATATTCTGGATATCCATCCAAAAGAACCGTCACCTGAGATATCTTTTCGTTTAATATCATTTTGAACGGAGATGTTACCATTGGTTGAAACTGCTCTCCATAATCATCAATTTTTCGAAGTTCAACTTTCGGATTCATAATTTGAGCTAAAAATATAATATTTAATACATAATATTCAAAAATCCTAAATTATTGATTTACTTATACTTTTTGTTTAAATTTCATAATTAATTATATTTATGATTAAACCTATTTAAGAAAACTAATTGAAACATTTACTATTTACATAGAAATTCTATATTGTTGACATTTGTAATATTTATGTTATCAAACCCATTTAATAACAACAATAAATTTGGTAAATGTAATAGTAAATCAATAATGAATAATAATAATATATTTCATCAGAACTAGTAAGCTATGATGGAGCAGTTGTTCATACAGTTCAGCCAATTACATCTAATCAGTAAACAAATTTATCGGAAACAAACAATACAAAAACTCACCGACATCTCCAATTTGAAAACGCTCATAGAAACCGCTAACAAACATATCTGTACCCCAGCAAGTTACATTTATGTAATCAGTGGGTGAATCCCTTATGGTAAAGTTAAAAACAGCTCTAACTTCTTCGGATTCATTCGATGGGGTAAACTTCTTCGGTCTTTGCTTACATATTATTACTCCGATTACCATAATATTCTCCGCGTATGGTACCAGTTCCCTTATTTTCATCTTTTGTACTCCAACAGAACAAGAACTTTCCATGATTAAAGCTGATTACTACACTGGCACTAACAACAGATAGACTAACAATATGTAGATTAAGCTCTTTTCATTTGTTATCACGTAGCCAAGGCCAGAGTCCTCTTTCAACAAACCACAAAGTAGTTTGCAATTTCAAAACAAACTTTATTTGTACTAAAAACTCGTCTCGCATCGGCAATCTTCGGAACGTTGCTTAGTATTGAACATAAAAGGCGTTCCAAAATGGATTTGAAACCATTTTTTCTTTCTTCAAGCAAAAAAAACATATTAAACTGTATACACTTTGATCAATTTTTTTATTAGTACGCCGTTAAATGTTATTACCAATACATCGAATAGACAGACAGTACAGTTTATTAGCTTTACACATATATTATCAGTTTTAATACAATAGAATTACACAAATAATTTAAAAATATATGTAACCACCAAAAATTTGGAATGGCATAAAATTCTCAAAAATTAGTTGGACACATAATTTGAACTACATTTATTTATATAAAATATAGAGAAAAAAAAAAACAAAATTAATTTAATTTCCTGGATAATCTTCCTTCGCCACATATCCACAAACATATTCTATCCACAAGGTAAGAAAAGAAGAAATCAGCAAACAACACTTGAAGTAAAATCATTTTGAACTGAAATTTACAAATTAAAACATTAGACGTTACATTCCACAAATAAAAGTGATTTACTTACATCATTAGGGAAATCTATGATTTCAAATTGAGCCGACAACTCGGGCACGGCGCCAATTGTAAGTAGAAGCACTACAGATGATGACCCCAAGATACTATAAAGCAAAGCTTTATTGGCAACCAAGCTTTCCATGTACGGTTGTCCCTATATAAAACAATATATATTTTTATTGTCTTTCAAAATATATCTTAACATACCCTGTAATTAATTGCAAATGTAGCAATTTGCAAAGCCATTGAAATTATGTACACAGTACTATTTACAATATTTGGCTCGAAAAGTTCATCTTCTTCTTCATCACTGGAAAATTTCAATTTAACGTTCGGATCTCTGAAAATAATATATTTTAGTTATACGATGCACTTGAAATCAATGTTAATGTTCTTACGCCGGTGGACCTCTAAGTTTGGCTTGTTGAACCAGAAATATCAAACAAACAAAATGAACAGCGAACTGCAGAAGAACTGTTAATATTGTGTACAAATTAAATATATTTGGCAGTGGGCGTTGTTTTGACAATACTTCTAAAGGCTGAAATAAAATTACATTATTAATTTATTTGTGATTGTGCTAAGGTATATTTACCTTTGATCTAGATATGAATAAGAAACAAGCAGCTAATAGAAGTCCTTGCAGGGTGGCTTGGGTATCTCTCAATCTGATGTCATCCACATACAAAACAGATTGTGTATAAGCAAGAATTAGAGCGTTCAACGCTAAAATTTTGAACATTTGCAATGTTGTTACTAATGTACATCTACCCTGTTTAATAATATGGCAAACTAAAATCAAAAAATTTCAATACAGTATAATTAATCATATTGAGGAATTGGCTTACTGCAAAGAATTGAAGACAGTTTACTAGTGAAAGGAGATGCAATACTAGCATCGCCAAGTTTAACAATCTGAGCTTGATCCTGTTCTTCCATTTCCTTGATGGCCTTCTGCAATTGAGTAAGTTGGTCTCGACGATTATTCCTGCTTGTCACAACGGACGCGGATAGGTCCTTAGCTAGTTTTTTCTTGTCTTTCTTTTCAGGCATACGCTCGGGTGCATTTGCCAATATAGCAACACCCACGTCAGCGTGTTTAAGAGCTCCAACATCATTTGTACCGTCTCCGCACATCAACGTGTTGAAGCCCAGATTCTTTAAGGTTACTACTACATATTCTTTTTGCTTTGGTGCAAATCTAGCAAATACTGTTATCTGAGGTAGCAATTTATTTAGGAATGCGTGTTCGTTGTCCCTTAGATAGTTAAGTGCGTCTCCTGTTATACACAGATCGTACGACTTTAATTTAGGGGACATTAATTCCAGTTGTTCCGTTTGATCAATTGATTCCCACAACCATTCGCCATTTATTTCAGTCAAGATCATTGTGCTTGACTTTTGACTAAACTTCAATTCCTTTGCCACATGGCAAGCGGTTAAAGGATTGTCTCCTGTTATCATAACAACGCGATGCGAAGCCCTTATGATTTCTTTAATAACGTTCTTGGAATCGGTCTTCAGGGGACACGAGATTATAACGAATCCAGCAAATTTCAAGTCCTTTTCAATATCATCGCGCGTTAAATTACGTAAATCTTGAGAATTTATAGCACCCAAATCTCTTTGACCCAAGGCTAGAACTCTTGCGCCACGCCTCGAAAGTTCCAGATAAACCTCATCGTAATTTTCAGGCAGTTCGCTGTACATCGATTTCAAAGTTTCTGGCGCCCCTTTAACAGTAACCATGTACATTGTATCCATCGATCCTTGAACATTGTAACTTGCAATTACAGACATACGCTTAAGAGCGGAAGAGAAATGGAAACGACTAACGATTTTTAAATTGGGCGACTTTACTTTTTTCGGAACAACCAGTTCACCTAAAATAATAATTATTATATTATTATATAAATCAAATAACAATTATAATATACCCTTGGTCAAGTTCCATTCAATAGCAGTTAATGTAGCCTTTTCCAATGGATCACCAACCAGACCGTCATCCAATTGCGCTAGAGAATGGCAAGTAGCCATCACTTGTAAAGATTCCAAGGGAGCTTCTGTTATAGGCGTAACTTTAGAATTTCCTTTCGCCATTGCCACGCCCTCGACAACTAAGTTATCACTTGTCAACGTTCCAGTTTTATCGAAACAACAAATATCGATTTTGCCAGCAAATGGGATCCTGAAAGGTTCGGTGCAATACACTCCAAACTTCGATAAAGCCAATAAACTTGTATTCACAGCAAGAGACAATTCAATGGGCAATTCTGGAGGAATCACCGATGTTAAAATCAAAGTACATTCTAGAAATAGTCTGTATCTACTCCTTTCAGGATCTTCGCAGCCCTTAATCCAAACGTATGCAGCGGCAGCAATGGCGAAAATTAAGAGGAATAGTATAAATCCAAATGTCTCCAAATTATTCGCGGTTACGCGTTTCACGCCGAAGAGTATGGTTCTCAATAATTTTCCTTGCGACGTATTGAAACCCGTTCTTAACACGTAAGCAACGCATCCATTATCTTGAGCCCTTAACCCGGCGCTTCCTTTTGATGGTGCCGTGTTTTGGACTACCTTGGTTCCTCCATAAAGCACATGTAGTTTACCGTCCAAGTCAAGATCAAGTTCTTTGTTTAGATCAAAATTTTCGATTGGTTCTTTCATCTGAGGCACAGATTCACCAGTCAACATGCTCTCATCTACAATGCAAGGTCCCCTCAGTAATAAAACATCGCAAGGAACGAAGTTATCGTTTTGAGACCTGGTTATGGAAATAATATCGCCAGGAATCAATTCATCTGTGCTTATTTGTCGCCAACGTCTATTTCTGTAAACCAGAATGTTGTATGGTTTATTACCCATTTTTCTAATCTCAGCCATGTTTCTAAGCTGCTGATGGACCAAGGTGCATTCAAACATCACTAACATAATCAGAGTGAATATCGAATAATACCAATATTTGTCCATGCACCAGAGACACACGCAAAATACTTGGAATACGAAAAACGGGGCTGTGGCTCTCTCTTTAAAAAGCTCCATAAATTCGGGAACAGCCATATCCAAAAAGTTACGACCGTACAATTCCTCCGCTTCTTTAACATCGCCATCTTCTTGGAATCCTTTGCAGCTCATATATTCAGAATACAATTTATGAGGTGCAAATTCAAAACTTCTAAATGTCTTTTTGTCTTCATTATAAATATATTTAGTCTTTTGGAATATGAACCATATAGTAGTTCCCTTTTCAGACTGGAATTACAGAAGCAAATGAATAATTAACATATGTATGTAAAAAAATAAAACTAAAATTACCTTGGAATGCTCAAGCTTCACTAACTCTGAATTACCATTATTGGCTGTTGGGATGACTTTGACCACTGTGGCTTTCAGTGGATCTTGTTCCTATATGCATATGCATTAATTTACATACATTCAGTTGAACAATATTAATATTTCAGCTTACCCGGTTGCATTTCATCCAACATGTGACATGTACAGACCAGCTGCAAGCAAGGCAGCTCAAAATCTGTAAGAAAAATATCACCACCAGTCCCAAACAGCCACCCTCATAGAACTCCCAAAATCCATAAATTGCACACCATCCATAAATCCATGCAGCCACTAATATAATGAATGGTAACATGTAATAATGTAGTATTGGTTTTTTAAATGTGTACAGCCCGACTGATTGGATCAGATCATCCAATTTCGGTGCCCCCATCTTTCCGGCTGTTCAATTGGATTTCCTAAACCGCGGGGCCCGACAAAACACCAACCCGGCTGCAGACTCCAAAAAAAAAACAACACGTATATGCAATATGTACAGAGATAAGTGACACTTCTGAACGATGTTGCCAATCGAAAATTAACATACAAAACGTACTAAAAAAATGAACAACCACGTGCGCATTTTTCAAATGCACTTTATTTAAATAAACCTACTCGAGGTGATATCTGACTTATATAAGAATGGAAAGTAAATAAAAGATGATTGTCTCATTTAGCTTTGTAGTTATGTCATGTGCTTAAACTATTTTGAAATATGTATATTGAATTAAATATAACAATAAAATAACTAATATTAAGTCAAAAAAAGTTATTCAATATATGTAACTATATTTACAATAGTATTTTTTATAAGTTTATATTATTGATTTACGCTTATTTGGTTGCCTATGACAAATGAGCTTATTAAATTCCCAATTTAATTTAATATTGATAAAACAAATTTGTAAACAATGCAACTTATTGCTTTATTTTATCATTATGATAATATGGCATCACCAATAATAAATGATTTATTACTTGCTAGATGCAATGAACTTAATGATATGGGTACAACAAGTATAGCTAATTAATACGGGCGTGGCCTTTTTCTAATTAAATATGCTTTTATTTTATGATTTTAAAGTATTTTACAACAAAGGAAATAATTTAATATTTTCAGCACTGAAAGACTTTGTGCAATTAACATTTGGCCCAAATTAGAGTGAATAAAAATTGTAAATAAATACATTTTGTAATGAATTTGAATATAATATATTCATTAATTATATTATTTAATTATACATTTTGTTTGGCCCTAATTTAGGCCAAAGGTTACAAGCGAGATATTTTGGGTTTTTCTGACCTCTATCATTTTAATTAATTAGTTTGAAGAAATTGTTGTGGAAATAATATAAATATTATTAATGTACAATATTTTTATATGAATACAAACCAAATACAGTGCAACCTCACTTAACAAGCATTTCGCTTAACGAGTGACGATAAAGAGAGATGTCCCGGATTGCGCGCCTGCCACATCATTTTTATAACTTATGTACACATATTATGTATCTTTTTGAATATGTTTCACTATACGAGTATTTCACCATACGAGTAAAAATCCGGAAATTTTGGAACGGATTAAACTCGTTAAGCGAGGTTCCACTGTATAATTATTTTTTTACTTTGAAATTATAGTGTCAATCAACTATAATAAATAGTTATCAAAAAAGAAATAATTAATTTTGTCTAAAGTGATATTTATTTTAGTAATATTAAATAAAATAAATAATTTACATTTGATGTTTTATTAATCAAAATAAAACAATACAAACAATAATGTGGACATATCAATTCCACAATCTAAACACACGTATTCTTAATACACAGCAATTAATAATGTTGTTTACGTTTTGTTATCAGCTAGTTAAAATGAAGGAAAAAGTTATATATATATTTGTTCAAATAAAAACAAAATCTTGTTTAGATATATACATTTTCGCCTAGGTCAGGTTGTTTTACACGACCTTGGTTTATTTATTTCTAGTTGACACTGTTATTGTTACAATGTTTACTTAATTATTAATAATTTCACTTTTTTGTAATATATTTTAGTCTACACATTTTCAATTAATTGTTCTTGCAGTAATTATTTATGTTTGAGTAAATGTAGCTTTGTAGATAAGTTTGTTATTTGTGAATTTATGCAATTGTATAGATATGAGCATAATGTTTATTTTTAAATACATGTTATATAAGTGAAGTAAAATTTATTGTATGCATAAATAAAACAAATACATATACAAAGAGCTATTGACTTCAGAGCATGTTATATTGTTTACATCTGACACTTCTATTTCATATTGAATTTTATATATTGACTTATTTTATGGAACTTAAATGCGCAATTCCAAGTAGGATTTAATATTTTTTTCTTGGTTTACTTTTTACTGGTTTTCTTATCTTGGGTCATCGAAGTTGATATGCGTAGAAAATATGATGAATTGAACAAAATCGTACTATATACTATGCTCATTTATTATGTTTACTTGGTTGTATTTGATTATCTGTAATAGAAGAACATTATTGGTGTATGTTAAAATAATAAATATCTAAATTTGTTATAATAATTATTCGTATTGTATGCAAGTATAAAGGAACTTGGATTCACATGTACACATTGTTTATAAATACGAATATTGAATTATTTACAAAATAACTTAGTTATTATATATGTAATTGATGATTGTTACAAAATATTGTTGGACGTTAAGAATATTTATGAGGGTAAAAAAGTGTTTGGGTTTTAGACCGTGACATTAAAGGTGGCTTTGTTGTTGGGAGAACATTTTCGGCGATGGACATGGTGGTAGTAAGAAAACGAGAGGAGCGAGCGTAGAATGAAACGAAAGAAATGAAAACGAAAATAAATAACGTCGAAACGCACCACAGTCCGGCTCTTTGTTTTATTTACATTGATTCTTTTCTCTTTGTGCTCGTGCTTAGTTCATGCTTCTCTTTGGTGGTGTTCTTTTCGTTTTAGCTGAAGCGAAATGTGACTCCGCGACCCCAGTATGCGGCCTTTTAATATAGTCACCACGTCAGTCACGTTCCACTAATAACATATTGAATTATTAGAGACATTTATTGGGTCACTGCACACAACAAAGCCAAATATACACACGTGAACATGCGCTTGAACACACGCAGGGAAAAGGTATCACTAACAGCACCGGGCTTACAATTCCGTATACAGCTCACGGTTATTTATATAACCATTATTATTGTTTCCATTTTTAATAATGGCTCGAATTTACATTTTATGTCGAAACTGCATTTTCCTCCGTGCTACATGTAAACAGACCATCACTGTTTTTTCTCTTGCGTGTTTTCTTTTTTTTTTTCGCTAAATTCGTTTATTTTGCTTGCGAAGCATTATTTTTCTATACATGCATATCATCACGTGTACATTTTAACTACATGGATATTCATATTCAATATTATTTTACAATTTTTCATATATACAACGCTCGCAGCAATTTTTTTAACATTAAAACATTAACAAAAAAAAGTACATTAGTACTAATATTAAGCTTTGGTAATATAATTTTATTAACTTTTGATAGAGTAATAGAGTATGGGTTGAAGGCTTACTACATAAATTAAAATCAATTCTTACTGAACAGTATTATAAACTCCTGAAATCCTACTTATATAATCGATATTTTCGTGTAAAATATGAAGATTCCTATTCGGGGAATTATTGTAGAACCAGTCATGTATCTGCTTTATATTAATGATTTCCTAACTACAGATATCCCCCTGTACTTACGAACTCCGGGAGTTATGAACAAAATTTCTAAAAGATCTATCTATCTATCTATCTAACAAAAATTGATATTTTCTTTAATAAAATATAATATTTTTGGAACATGTACTATCTGTTTTGTTGCGTTTGTTTCTTTTGTTGTTTTTTATTAAATAATTGTGATGTCTATATTTAAAAGTATTTGTAAGTAATTATTTAGTTTATTTCAATCTTTTTTTTTTCAAATTTATGCTGTCAGTAATACGGATTTTAATATATACATATAAAAGTAAAAACCATGATAAAGTGTGGTAAGATAAGCATATTTTGAAATTTTTAAAATTCCCCCGACTTATGAACAACCCTTTGGAACACAACTGGTTCATAAGTCGGAGGATTCCTGTTTTTTGTACAATAGATCAGCCACATGCTGGAAAATTCAAATAGCTCTAAACAAAGTGTCAATCTCTACAAAAAAATGATGAATTAAACTGAACGAATCTAAATCGACACATATTAGCTTCACAAATAAGATTAACAAATCTTCAGCAATGTCAATGCATTACAATATACAGCAAAATATCTTGATATGGCGCCAAGATTCAATGGAAAGTGTTAAAATGAAGAAAAGTGATAAACTCAACATCAAGTTCAGAAAAATGTATTGGTTGCTTGATTACAATTCTGAACTATCAACCTACAACAAATGTATCTTTAGAGTTATGGTAGATTTCAGAACAAAGTGCTAAAGTGTATTGTGCAAGCTCCGTGAATCGTTTGTAATAGTGCCTTTCATTGTGATCTTAAGGAATCGAATCGATTACAGCTATTATCGCTAGATTTTCCAAAAACCATCAAAAGATGCTACAAAACCCAGATAGAAGTTCTTAACTTACACAACATCACTAGATAATAAAGTGAATAAAGCCGTTTGAACTTTCTAATTGATAAAACACTAAGTGATTCGCTAGAAACACCTTAGTTTTAATTTTTTATATAACTTTTCCAAAATAATATTAATTAGTAGTTTTTTTAACCTTTAACTACTCTCGACGGTGTAAAAAGTACACCAATTTTCTAAGAAATGATACCACATCTATATTTTCTTTACCCCATCTATGAAACTTAACATAACGTATACACAAATTGTTTACTAAATGCCGGTGCAATATTGTGTTCATTGTGGCACAAAGAAGTTGTTTTTGTGTATGCTCTTTTTTGCTCTGCAGTGTTGATGTAAATCGGAGGTTCCCAAACTTTTGTGTGTCGTAGACCCCTTGCCATGTCTTTCAGTTTTGGGTAGACCCCCTACTTACCTTATATTGATTTTTTGTAAATTTATTATTTATATTGGGACATCTTTATAATTATTAAGATCTTTGCTCTGAGACTGCGTGTATGCTTGTAATAAGATGATACTGGTATATCATTATGTGCAGATTTTTACAAGTTCAAAATGTATTGCGACCACAAAGCAAATGCCTACAACTTACACTTTTATAAATAATGTATATGTCTTTATATTATAAGATAGCATAATGTAAGTAAATAGGTACTATCAGTGTATGTTGATATCCACTATCGTGGACCCCCATTTTCATTTCATGGGCCCCCAATTTTTTTTTTCGCTGACGTAGACCCCTTGCAGGTTGTCATAGACGATATAGGGGGTCGATATAGACCACTTTGGGAATCACTGGTGTAAATGCTGTTACCTCTACTAACACTTATATAGAGGACAGTGACGACAATTCTGATCCAGAAATAATTATATGAATGTATTACAAATAGTTATGAATGTAATAAAAAATCATTAGTTAACATGAAACACTATTTATAAAATCTTACTGTGTAATAAATAATTGGGTGTAGTATGATATCTATCTCCTATGCTTTGCAATGAAGAGGCTGAATTGTTTACAAGACTGATTAATTAAAAATAATTAAGGTGATGTAATAACCCTCTGTTTTCACGATAATTAGGGTGTATTTTTGTGACGTTACGCTACAGGCAGTAAACATCCATACGTATCAAATTTCAAGATGAGTATTTTTTTAATTTAAGTTAATTAAATTTTATAAGAAATATAAATTAGCATTTTACAATACATTAACATTATTGGTAAATACTAAGCAATATTTATGAACAAACCATGTACCTGTTTTTAGAAATATCACGGTTTTCGTCAAATGAGGTATTCCTTCAATTAAAGGTGAAATTGTTGATAAAAGATATGTCAAAATTATAACCAACTAATCTGTTGGATGAAACTCATAGAGATGATGACGAAAAAATCCACTAAACTATTTTCTTACAAATGATCTTCTTGCTGACAAATTGACATGACAATATACATGGCCCATTACCAATTATTTCGATTAATTATACTTTTTCGATGTTAAGAACCAATCTTCTGATTATATATTTTTACACGGATTCTTCAAGAACCGGTTAGAGTGTACAATTCATGTATGTTACATCGTACATTATGAATCTCATCTGTAACAGTTCTGTGGTGATGATTGCGAATAGGCGTTTGGAATTAATTATTAATTAGCAAAAAAAAACGTTCGCACGAATAAAAGCCATTACCTCTAATATGATTTGGCGTGTTATGTAAATAATTGTGTATGTTGCAGGAATGGAGCGAGTGCATTTTACCACATTCGGGCTGTTTGTATCAGAGCAGACGGAGAGATCGTGTGAGTCAGAAAGAGAGAGATGGATAGATAGAGAGAGAGAAATAAAAAAAATACAGCAACTGAGGGGAAAAATTGCCGGTAGCGTTGTGCCCGATGGTGGATTGCAGGAAGGTATTGATCACCTGTACAGGAATAAGGCGTGGCCGAACGTTGTTCAGAACTCCGCCTTTTGTACGCCATTTCTATAGCGATTCTCACTACCATTGGTCGGCGCCCCCAACGATATCCTGCCGCATTTGCACTCCAAATAAAACGCATGAGCCGTCAACTGGCTTGCAAATTGTTGCTGGATACACTGCAACGATCGATGCAGACAATCCTCCTCCCTACTGACACTTATATTTCATACTAATCAATTGCATTTAAATGTATACAAATATTTATAAATATTATTAGACAATACTAAAACATATTGTTATTATTCATTTGCTATCAGTTTCTATAATAGAGTTAAGATCAGAACAATTTTGGTCTTGATTATAAAAACACACAATTGAATTATAACTACAGATTTTTTAATAAATATTATTCGTTAAATGATACAATTAAATTAACAAGGTTTGCTGGAAAATAGATTAGTTTTATTTTTTTGTATTACTTTGCCCAAAAATATTAATTGTTAGTTCTTTTGAAACTAGTCTTAATTGTGTTAAATGCTTATATCAAAAAAATAATAATTAAAATATTTACAAGACATTAATATAAACTAATTTATACTAAATTATACAATTGAGTAAACAAGAGACAATATGTATTTAATTATAGTAAATTATAGTTATTAATATATACAATACATAATACAAATAACAAAATGTATTACAAGAAATATATAAAACGAGAAAGAAATGAGATATAAAAGAAAACATTGCAATGATCAATTAATTGATTTACAAGCTGAATAAATATTTAATGCAATATTAGTTTGTTTAGGTTGTTACTTTATATTAGTCTTAAACTACTGTTTTTTTTATTAAAAGTCTATACAAAAGTAGCTATGACTAACCACAAAATATTTAAACACAAAAATACCACAATAGATTTAATTAAACATTGAATGATCCAAATACATAAATTTACGGAGTAACAAATTCTACTATTATTTATTTTGCACCTATTATTTAGTATTATTTTTTTATGGGCAAAAAAGACAATCGACCAAAGTTTTCTTTTCCATTTTATTGTTATTATTAATCATTTGCATTTATTTATATTTTAATTAGCCAGTGTTTAGAACTTGTAACGATACAGCCAATTATTAAAAAAGAATAATTTTGTTAGATAATAAACATAAAGAAATAACGATTTGTTATGTAATATTAGATTGGACAATTGCAGGTTACTGCAATATTTGTAATTACGTTAAGGGAAGGTAAGTAATTTTCCTTGTATTATTGATTAACAATCTTTTATCGGATAGCAACAATATACGACGGTGTGTGCAATGATTACATTCGCTGTAAGTGTGTCGTGTTGTAATAATGCTTAGTTGAAACTTTTACATATTACAGGCTAGTAGGTCGCTCCTGAATCAGCAACGTGTCGTTTGACTCATAATTATTTGAAAGCCACACAAAATACATATAGAAATCTACTTCAGAGTTAAACATATTACAATGTTTATTAAAAAATATTATATATCCAATATAATTCAACCACGATATATAATTCTAACGTTTTTCAAATTAGAGTATTGAATACATAAATATATTTTAACACTATTTTAAGGAAATTAATATATTAAATGGAATATATTAATTGCAAATATGTTTTTTGTTCCCAATCTAATTAAATTAAAATTCGCTTGCAAATGTTATTATTAATGGTAAACATGTTTGGTATTATTGCTGAAGGAATGTGCAATTGTTTTTATAATGCGGATTTCCCATTTCCTTTACATGCGCATTTTTTTTATAACATAATAAAGAAATGAAACAAAATGATTATAAACTATACATTTGTAATCATAATCTTCTAAATTAATTTACAATATATCTTTTACTAGACATTGTGTAAATTTGTTATTAGATATTGTTACTTTATAAATTAAAACTACAGTAGTAGAGCAATTCTACATTAGTAGAACTACAGTGTTAAACTATTTAATGTTTTATTAAGAATTAATTAAACGTTGAATTTCTGAAGTTTATATAATTGCATATTATTTTAGTTGAAATTCTACTTTGTATTTGAGAATTTTTTATAATTATCTATTTAGTTTCTAATGGCTATAACATTTTAATGTTAAATTTAACTTGCAAACCCCTACTTTATTTATTATATGCGATCTCCACGAATTTGTAAATAAGTAGTTTGTTATCTAAAAATAGGTTTGACTGTTTTCCAAGCAGCCAATACGTTTTACTGAATTTATGTCCCAACTGCTTTGCTAGTTCCAGGTGTGTTTTTACAAGTAAGTCTCCAATCCAGATGCTTACACATATTTTTTTTATAAAGTATTGTTATATGTAGAAAGTTGGCTATTTCTTTTATAATTATTATAATATTATTATTCTTTTATTTATTTAGAATAATAACAAATAAATATGAAGTGACTTATCCTTATTTTATTCATACTTAACCTAATAACATAATACATTATGATTTATAGTATGTAACAAAAAGTATAATAGAAAAAATAAATGCTATTCAATGTCACAAAACAGTGTCGAGTTGGTTCCTACAATAATTTATAATTAATCGTTCATTTTAAAGTGCTTGGTAATCAAATTTGCGCGACATCTACAAATCTCAATTAACTAACTATTAATATTTATTAAAATAATAACAATTATTAGGTTTGCTAATATAACTTCTATATAAAATTATATAGAAACTGTAATTCTAAATAAATAACATCTGACTTTTTAGTTAAATCAAGTTAAAATGATTTAATGTTTCTTAATTGATATCTATATTTTATAGAATTGATAATTTTTTTTTAATTGTATAAATAATTAATGTAAGTAATAATACATATACAATAGCACTTGCATTGTTATGTTTTTAACTTTTAATTAATTGTGGTAATTTGTAAACGCGTATGTGGAAAGTGTATATTTTATTGATTTTGTAAAAATAAATAAATAACTATTAAATGAAAATATGATATTAGGCAATTAAAAAATACTTAAATAATTAAATGAATCGGTATTATTGTTTTTCCGCTGCGTACGTGAATTTTCATGAGCGCGTGTTGTGTATATACAATTTTTTTTTTTGATTGCACAAAATTGAAATGGAATTGTTTGTTTTGGCCAATAAATTTGATTTTAAAAACATTATGATTAAGTAAAGTGATATCAAATGTTTAATGATATCAATCGGGCGAGCGCAAATAAACAAATAAACAAAATTCCGGGCAAAAGCAAACACGCATTGAGAATGCGACGATTCGTTGTTGTTGCTGTACACCTTTGTACCTTAAAAACAAAACCGTAACTGTAAAACAAATCTTCGAATTTGTTTTGATTTTGATTATAAATATTATTAGGTGAGTTATGTGATTTCTTATGAATCCGACAACATCTGGCTTTTCGTCTTTTTTTTTTCGAGTGTCGTCCTGTCTTCTTCGAGTATTCGTTGTCCTTTGCGGATAAGGCATCGGCGGTCGGGGCGTGTCCTGTGTGCCGAATTGGACAAGTGGGGGTAATCCTGCAGCATTCAGCAGGAACGTCCCCGCGTTGGAGTAGCGACGGCATGAAGAATGACAGTAGTAGCATCGCGTCGTTACTCCCAACGCATGCAAATCCACGATCAACATACGAGAGTTCTTCTGGAGGAGAACGAGGAACTGTTGTAGTCCAATCAGTTGTTTGATGTTTCTCCTGTTATCATCCCGACCATCTCTTCCTGTGCCCTCAACATTGTGATAAACTAGTGTGAATACCAGTTTTACTGTTGCTCGATTTTATTGGACGGAAGTACACGGGTCAAAATGAACGACTTACCGGAGGCGTTGAATTTTACTGGACGCTCAATTAGTGCCATAAACACTATAACGCCTATCTCTAATCATATCATGTCGTCTGCTGTAAGTTTACTACCTACTTTACTTTATTATCACCACTTTCTGACTTCTTTACTATCCATTAATTTACGGTGCATTTTAACCTCGATAAACTACATATTTAAAATACAATAAACACTTACTATTACTGCAATGCAATGGAACATGAAACCAATTAATTTTATAATGTTTCATTATTTCGTAATCATTACTTCCATAAATTCAGAAGCCAACGTATATTTGACTCCTTTTTCATTGACAATAGTAATAAAGACATACAATAAATTTAATAAATGATTTAGTTTACACCATCAAAAGATTATCAATTATCAAAAGATTATTTATTATTTATATATGTTTATTACAAAATTATTTACAATTATTTTATCAAGTTATTTTCCTATAACTTCCATGGAACTTTTCATACATGTCAATAAATGAATCATAATTTAATAAAATTGGGTATAATTATTAAAATTGAAAAATGAACATACGTTTATTTAACTACAGTCCGAAAGTTTACTTGCAAATTCATCAAATCCTCATCTTCTACATATATTATTCCCAACTTGATTTGCTTTTTTTTTATTGCTATTGTTCGTATAATGTTTTACATTATTCTAAATTTATTGCTATTTGCACTTGCCTTGCGTTTTATCAATATTATTATTAGTTGTGTATTTTATAAAAGGAAAACGTAATAAAATTTGTATGCATTGCGACGATTAGCATTGCATTGTTTTCCGACGGACCTCTTAATAAAACTGTTTACTTTTCGCATTTACTTCACACATATTAGAAAACAGATTAATTATTGACGTGATAATATAACAAAAATAAATTTTTGATATAATATTTAGGTAGCAAAGAGAAACATGTTTTCACAAAAAGTAGTTAATAAGAATATTTTTTGTTGGAGCTATGAAAAGGTGTGAAACGTATTTTATATTTATGTACTATTGTTAATTAGTTAATTGATTTGTATATACTGTAGAATCTGAATTTCAAATACAAATTACTTTTTATTTACCTTAATTAATTTTTCATATTAATTTAAAAAAAAAATGTAATCAACAATTTATAATTAATTTCTATAAGTTGAATTACAATCTTTTCACCTCTGAATTAGCAGTAGGATATTCTGTAAATCTTAATGGCTAAATGTTAGATAACATTAGGTTAAATCGACGATAAGAATATCCTGCTTTAAGATTTTTTTAAAATTATTTAATGCGTTCTATATAGTACATTACAATTATGATAAGTTTAAATGATCAAATCGGACTTTTTTAATTTAACCTTGCATATTTTATGCAAGTTCAAATAAGATATTGACTAAATTAAGGCCAATAAAAATATAAATATTGATTGATTTATTATTAGCAAAATCTGCATTTCAATGATGATATTAACAGTTTTTTCTTGTCTTTATGTATAGTTGTTTTGTATGATTTACCAACTATGGGCAAATGCGGCTCTTCATTGAGTCAAGTGCTGTTTCCATTTTTTTTTTTATTATATTTGAATTTTATTACTAAAATTTTGAAATAATTACAGTGGAACCTCACGTTCCATATTTTTTACTTGTATAATGAAACAGTTTTCCCCAAATAAACTAATGTAAATTATGATAATGCGTTCCATATCTGCAAAAAAGTATAAATTGGTCTTCATTTTTAATGATTTTGCTTTTCATTTCTATGGTTTTTTGGCTTTTTTCCAATTCACACATGATGAAGAATTTTATTTGTTTATATTACTTGTATCATTTCGGAGACTTGGTGAGGTCACTTTATACTTTTAATATTTGATTATATAAGAAAGCGTACATAGTGTGTTTATATATTATAATAATGGTTGGACACAATAGATTTGTGTTTTGCATATACAGCAAATATAAATTATATTTACAAAGTATAGTCCGCTTTAAACAAAGATGACGAAAATGTTGCGCCATTCTTACAATTCATTTTGCTCGTTAAGCGTAATGTTCGTTAAACGAAGTTCTACTGTATTGTATTTTTTCAAAATTATATTTTTTTTATATGTTATTTGTGATAATATGCAATTAAATTTAATAAAAAAAAAATGAATACGTGTGGCTCTTTATAAAATATAAAAAAACCGGATTGCGAATCACTTTGATCTCTCTTTGTACGGGTCTCTCCCCCTGCTATATACCTATCAATTATTTTGTTGTGTTGAAACTAAATGATTGATGTAAATTAAAATAAAAATAATTAATTTTGAATATAATTTATATAATAAAGAATATTATTTGAAAATACAAAATAATCAAAAAAGAAAACTAGTAAATACAGGTATTATTTTGTATACTTGACTTATTCTTAATAAAGAAATGCATTAAATTTATGTAATTAATGGTATTTGAAAAAAAAAACATTTTCTTCATTTGCGGATATTAAACAAATACATAGTTTACATTTTGCCGATGCAGAAAGAAATCCAAAAAAATCCAATGCAATTATAAAATTAAATATGTGTGCATATAATTACACATGCAATAAAATTCACAGGTGTTTAGGTCACATCATTTGAGCCTTACAACATATTTCTTGTAAAAATGCGCGTGACGTGTCGTTTGTGAAAACGATAATAAAAGCATTCCGGGAAGAAAAAAGTCGATGCAACGGAAAAAAGAAGAAAAGAAAAGGCGCGAGTGGAATCCGATCGAGTTTCTTATGTCGTTGCCTCCACCTCCATCCATCAGAGTAATCCGTAAAGAAAAATACACTTTATAAAGATAAATATTTCTTTTTTTTTATATTATTATTTTTAATTTAAATAATGTTTTAATAATATTTTGTATCTAATTGAAAAATATTTATCAAAACGAAGTTTAATTTATGTTTTGTTTTATACAACAAATATTTTACTCTGGATATTAAATTTGGAAAATAATTATACTGAAATACGAAAGAAATATGTTTAATAAAAAAAAACGTTTACGCAATTTAATGCGACATATTCGCACTTACTTGGCACATTGGACTTTAGAAATTTATGTAACTCTGCGATAACGAAAAATCACGTTGCGAAATGATACTGAGGGCGTCTTCTTATATATCTATTCTATTTTTTTTATATGCGTCATGCTAATAAATTCGTCTCAAATCATTATCAAACTGTGAATTTGGTAATTAATAATGTGGGTTAGATATAGCCGGTTTGGTGACTCCGGTGATGTCTTTTTATCGTTCGTGCGTTTCGCTTTTCGAATATGGGCACAAGCTGATAATATTCAGAATCATCTAATATATATTATTTTTTTACTCTCAGACTAAATAAAGTGATGATATCATGTAGCATGGATCGTCGTGTGCACTTTGTCCAAAGCCACATTAAGTGAAACGAATTATAAATTTTCTTTTTTTAAGATAGAATTTATATCATCAATTTGGCTTTGACTGCTTAACAACTTAGATACTAAAAAAATAATATATTTTGAGATCTTAAACACTTGTTTATTTCGAGGAATATTCAAGGTACGTTATTTGAATCAAGAAAAGTTGTTAAAGATTTTAATAAAATTGAAATTTTAAAGATACTAAAAAGCAACAAATACTAAAAACAACGAGAATTAAATAAACAAAAATGCAACATTAAAATTATCAGTTTTGATCTAAAATGCTCCATCTACGAACATGTGCTTTATAAGAATGTTCATCAATCTGAACCTATGGGTTCCAGGAAACTTTTGAAGGGTTATGCGGAAATTATCATTGAACTGTAAAATGATAAATATAATATCTCAAATTACGGGGTTCCTTCAGAAATGCGACGAGTCAGAAGGTCCCGAAGGCAATGATAGTTTGAAAAAACCTGCTTTAGAAACTCGACTTGTGTTGATTTACTCGTCTCTAATCTCTATAAACAGCAACACCTTACATAGCGCGGCTTCGATCAGTGCGAATTTACTATAGATCGATTTGGAAATTTAAAAAAAATCTGTATTTAATTCAGTCAAAATTATTTTATTTTACATAAATGATGGTATTTTTTATTATAAAATCAAATCCCTTTTGTGTGGTTTATTATATGCGGTTTTAAAGATCTCGATTATTCCGATATTAAATAATACGGGGTACTAGCGAAGTATAGTGGAATCTCGCTTAACGAGAATAATCATTCCAAAATTTGCAGATTTTTACTCTTATAGTGGAACAATTATCCCCATATAAACTAATGTAAAATACGATAATGCCTTCCATGCCGGAAAAAAAGTATAACTTGGTCTCAATTTTTCATGATTTTTCTTTTCATATCTATGGTTATTTTTATACTTTGGCTTTTTATTCGGATACATGCAAGTTTTTTTTTAATTTTGCATAAAAAAATCACAAATAATATGTCCGAACACAAGTTTGGAAATATGTTTGATTTAATTCTAATACCCATTCACACACAATGTGAGTTTATATTTGTTTATATTACATAATATATGTGCAAACACAAATTATATTTGCAAATTATTGTCAGCTATAAACAAAGATGATAAAGAAAGTTGAAGAAGGTTAATATATTCAAAAATACACATAATACAAAAGTTTTGAAAATGATGTAGCTTGCGCACAATCCGGGACTTCCTTTCTACTCATCACTCATTATGCGATTCACTTTTCATACAATTTATGTTGATCGTTAAGCGAAATACTCATTATGCGAGGTGATCGTTAAGCCAGGTTCCACTGTATTCTTGTATTATGTAAAAAAAGGTTCAAAATCTAGTCGTGTTCGCTGAATCTAATTTTAAGGCTGGTACTGAAAATGTAGAAATACGCAAAGCCTTTTTACTTAATATATTTGTAAAGTTATGTGTACTTTTCAACACATTTTTTTTTGAATACCTTAATAAATATGATTTTTATAAGTTAAAGTATATTTATTAGATGTTGAAAATTATTAATTATTTTGTAATTGATATACCCTCTTGCACCCCCGGAGAATGGGTACGTGTAGAAAAACATCTCGAATTGATCTGGCATCAATTTTTCTGCGATCCC